GCTACTTTACTTTCTGATCTGTCAGCAGAGGCTAAAATAAATTTTTCAAGGAAGCGTACTTTCTGATCTACATTCAGTGTCTTCAATTTCTGCTCTCAGTATCATCATGAAGAAACCTCAGACTTAGTACAAGGATACATGAGGTGATAAAGTGAGCACAAACACAGAGATGTTATCTGAAGCCGCCAATCACAATTCTACTTCAATGTTTTTTGGGGGTTTTTTGTCCTCCTTTTATTTTGTGGTTTTAGTGAATTGACCCAACAAAGTGGTATCTGTTGTAGACTGGTTCATCTCTAAGCTTTGTAAGATTTTTCTTTGTGACTGTTGTGTAAGCAAAAACATTTCCTAGTGCTTTTCAGCGGCTGCCCACGGCCTTTATATGATCTGAATAGTATACTTCCTCTTATAAAATATCAGGACATGAGCTCTTCAGCGGCCATATCAAAGCCCAACTCTTAGTTTTTGTAGAATGGGTGAGGGCCAGAAGCCATGGCCGTGTACCCATTTTGAGATATTTTTCAACACTTTGGCATTTAATACCTTTTAAGTAGAACTCCATCTGCTCTATCCTTGGCAACCCCCCACAAATCCCCCAGTCCCTAATATCTTAATTTATTGATTTTGCAAATACACCCTACACATACCTTTTTTCTAGTTGGTTTTGTGACGTCATAGGTCCTTCCTCTTCATTGTCAGTGGCGGCAGAGGCGACTTGCAATGACATATCAGCACTGATCAGTCCTGGAGTACTGTGAGCTCTGTCTTCATGACGACATGCCGAAGGGGATGTGTCAATGGCAGGCTGGGCTCACAGGAAATGTGATGAATGACAACTCAATGCTGGGCGAAGAAGAAGGCTGGTGACGGCACTGGAAAGGGTATGTAGAGCAAAAAGACCGTTCACTTAGCAGTGTGAATATTAAAAGTGAATGTTCTCTTAGCCTAGTAAATCTGGTAATGCAATATTCACTTCAGTTATACAACTTTTATTTCTTCGTTTTCATTGCATACGATTTCCTATGCAACAGGAAAACATCTTCCTCTTATTTACTAACTAAAGATCAACTTTGTTAAAGGGGAACTCCAGGATTTAGTGCAGTGCAAGGGTAGCGCTACTGCAAGGGTTAAGTGCTCATTTTGGTCTAGAGGTGTAAATAATATAAATATACTCAGCAGGATCCTCGGTTCTGCCTGGCTGTTAGACTGGCCTCTTCTGCCCCGGCTCCGACAGTCTAGGCCCCGCTGATGTCATCACGTATAATGCAGGTCAAGTGACTTGCATTAGATGTGAGGACACCGAAGGACATTTCACAGCCATTGCAAGGGGGAGAGGAGTGAGCGCTGACTACCGCAGGACCGAGGATCAATCAAGCCCAATGTCATAGTGTTAGACACAGCAGTAAGTGAATGAAAGTCCCTGGATTGGGGACCGAGGCAACAATAAAAGCATTTTCTAGTAGATCCTGTGTGAGGGATTTCTCTCACTTTCCATCTAGTTGACAAGTGTCAGACAGAAGAGGAAATGAAATCTCCTCGCCGGGGCCTTCAGCATTTGACAGACATATCTTCTTAACTGAGACACTGAAGTATTTAAAACCTGCCCTTCAATTCTATAGGTAAACTAAAAAAAACAACACAACATTTGGCTGGGGCTGGGATTGAGCACGGCAAAGGGGACAGAACCTAAAATTACATTCCAGACATAGAATGCATTTGTGGCCAGTGACCATTGGATCCCCGCATGTCTCTTCCCATAGGTATACAGAACACTAAATCAGTAGTAGGCAACCTTGGTACTCCAGCTGTGGTGAAACTACAAATCCCATCATGCCTTTGGAAGTCATGCCTGTAGCTGTCAGTCTTGCAATGCCTTATGGGACTTGTAGCTTCACAAAGATGGAACACTGTAGCACAGTATTCAACCTCAGCACTCTTAAGTCTGGCACTCTGACACCAGAAGCAGAATAGGGGCAAGAAAGCAAAATGAGGAACTGCGCTTGTGCTGCTATATCCGCCTCCCCAAGAGGCAGCATTTGAGAGGCTTGTATAGAAATTTGACCAGGCTCATCAAGTATCTGGAACAGGGAATGTAAAGCTCAACTGTGAGTGATATTGCTGCCCAAAACCTCTGTGTACAGCGCTCAAGGTTAAAGAGGGTCACACTCTTTTCTGGATATACATTGTAGTGGTGTCTCCAAACCCACCTTGGTAATTTCATATCAAGCAGAACTTTGTGGGGAATTCTGAGAGAAAGATCTTTTGATCTGCGCCCAGTAGGGTATGTGCCAGTGGCTGAAAAATTACTACTTCACATTACTCTGCAGTATTACTTTTAAAACAAAGATGTTTTTTCTCTTTGTGGTGGTTGTCACATTCAGATATGTTGTATGCTCACAAGCAGTTAAGAGCTTCGATCTTCCAAAAGATACAACATTGTTCCAAATGTATTATTACAGGTTGTCCATGTAGAAGTGATTCCAGTATTAAGCTCTTGAGATAGTAACATGTTACCATTCATTGTATGTTTACATGCATGTGTGTGTATATGTGTGTGTGTGTATGTATATGTATGTGTGTGTGTGTGTGTGTGTATGTATATGTGATATATAAAATTTTCAGACAGAAATCTAAAAGAAAATAATTGTCAGATCGAAACTTATTTTTTTGTTAACCTTTTTTAATTTTTCTTTTTCAATATTTAATTTTAATTTACTTTTACTGTCGGGGGCCCTGTTATTTCCCTGTTGAAAAAGAGATTGAAGACACAGAGTTCTCATTCTTTTTCTGCAGCTCCTGTTCTGAATGAACAGGAAGCCGCTATACTGAGTGTTCCTGTGGCTTTAGTATAAGTTACTATGTCCACAATCGGGACTGAACAGGAAGTGATGTAGGGCACTTCCTGTTCATTCATAATTGGGGTAAACATACTATGTCCTCAATTATTTACAAGCACTCAGCGATCACTTCATCACTGAGCACTTGTCTCCACTCTCCATCCTGACTCGCTGTCAGAGGAGGCTGAGCCGGCAGTACGGGGAGGAGAGCTCGGCCTCCTGTGACACGGCTGACAGCTGATTCCTCCCTTGCACCACCAACTCGCCCCCCCTGTGACAGCTGTCTCCTCCCTGCACTGCTCTCCATCCTGATCTGCCTGTCACAGGAGGCAGAGCGGATCAGTGCTAGAAGAAAGCTCAGCCTCCTGTGACACAGACCGCTGATGGCGCTCTCCTCCTCCACTCGGCTTTCTGACAGTTTCTCTCCTCCCAGCTGCTCTGTCTGAAGAGACACAGAGCAGGGCCCAGCGGGAAGGAGAGAAGGTAAGGAATGTGCCGCATTTTCGTCCAAAAAAATTTACTTTTGCACAAAGTACCATTGTCAGCGACATTTCGGTGCATCCCTAATATTAATTCTAGTGTGTGTGTATGTATGTATGTGTGTATGTATGTATATATATATATATAATCAACTATTCTCATGATCGGTTGGTTGGTTGGATCCCTTAGCTCTCTCCGCACAGCAAGCAGTGGATGGGTGCAGTAGCCAGTCTGCTATTTCCATTTGAAATGGCCATTAGCAGACTGGCTATCGCACCAGCCCACTACCTGCTGTATTTACATTCAGCTGCCATCTGTGGAATCTTACTACTGGCAGCTGTCATTCCCTGGCTGAAGATATTCAAGCGCCATGTGCTTACAGTACAATTATTTAAAAAACAATTATAAAAGGTGGAAGAAAGTAATTTTCGGTTTCGGCCTGACAAATTCTGCTGTTGGACGTGCGTTGCAGTGCCATTTAGTTCAATGGAACCCCAAACGCGCCTCCCACCCACAGTGTGATCGGCCGCACTGAAACGCACTGTACCGCATTGCAAAAAATTGTGCATGCAGTTTTATTCTGAAGCAAACTTTATGTTTGTAACCCGGCATTTGTGTATTTTATTTTCAATTAAGGATGGTATTTATTAGATTGTTTTTATCTGATTAATCGAAAAAATAACTCGTAGTGAAAGAATCATTTAAATCTGTCAAATGTTCTGTGTACTTTTCCTTTTGACTGGCAACCACCAGCATAAGAAGAAAACTACAAAATTGGTATACCCTTCCCCACTCAAATTAAAAAAGTTTTTAAACATTTGAAGCTCAATCTTTAGGTGTTCAGCACCAGATTTTGTAACATTCTGTTGTTCTGTATTTTTACAGATCACATGCCTAATATCTGATCAGTGCACGAGGACTGCAACTGCGTCTCCTTTAATTCTGTTTTTGAACGCCTGAGCATGGTTTGTGCCAAAAGTATTGCAGGTATGCACTCTGCATCCTATAGGTCCTTTATAATAGCTTTGTCATAATGTTTATATGTGTTGAATTGTTTATATATAACTCCACTACGCCTAATGTATATAGTATGTTGGACCACAGCTGCTTTGTAAGCATATACAGAAAACTGTACACTAAACTTAATACTGTTCTTAGTACTGCTCTAAATACTGACGAGGCAGAAAATGACTCATTTCTAGTGTTGGGTTAGCAAAGAGTGAGGACAAGTTGTTTGGTAGAATGTGACGTTTGCATATCATGATTTTTGTTTGTGTGGCGTGAAGTGAGAAAAGGTGTGGACTAGGCAAGGCGATCTGCTTTCTTTCATCTTATTGCCTGGATTTTTTTTATTCTCCTTTTTAAAAGACACTGAACTGGAAACTCATTTACACTATATGTAGTATACTAAAAACCGGCAAGGTGAAGTAGAGAACTCTGCAGTCAGGGTTGCTCAGGATTAGTCCTAATTTGGCATGGACCAGTGCTTGTGGAGTCCTGAGTGTGACTGCACTAATGAGATTTGTAATCTATATGCAAATTGTAGTAAACAGAAAAGTCTCTGTGTTGAGTCCTTCTGTCTGCCATTTTTATAACTTTCTTATATATTCAAGCAGAACATGGGGAACATTGTCCTATGAATTCATGTGAATAATAAAAAATAAAAAAATCAGTGGGTAGATATAAAATTCCCCTTCATGGCTAAATCTAAACACAAGAGTAGTAGTGGCAGCAGCCATACCTCTCATCTTTCTGAGATGAGGAGGGACACCTTCTAGCACAATGGGGGACATGTATCATTTTGATCACATCATCAGTGTCTTTGTAAATTGTCACATTGCTGAATTCTAGTGCATATACAATGTGGGAAATAATGATTTGATCCCCTGCAGATTTAGTAAGATTGCACACTTGCAAAGAAAGAAAGGTCTATCATTTTTATCATAGGTGTATTTAAATGATAGCGACAGAATATCAACCAAAAATCCAGAAAAAAACACAATACAAATGTTATAAATTGAGTTGTAGTTCAGTGAGTAAGTCAAGCAAAACATGAATGGGTACTTGGTGGAGAAACCCTTGTTGGCAAGCACAGAGATAAGACGTTTCTTGTAGTTGGTTACCAGGTTTGTACACATCTCAGGAGGGATTTTGGTCCACTTTTCTTTACAGATCTTCTCTAAATCCTTAAAGTGACATTAAAGCCAAAAACAATTTCCCCTCCCCCCCATGTATATGTTAGCGCTTACCTCAAATGATGTCTCTTATTGTGATCTTCCTCTTCTTTCCCCATGTTTTCATGTGTCCCTCCAGCGGTGTGACTCTGCCCACTCCGATCCAGCGCTGACTGCTCTGTCTCTCCGATCCAGCGGTGTCTGCAGGCGGGTGCACGTGTCCATAGACTTACCTTGCGTCTCTGCTCGTCTCCCGGCCGAGAATCGGAACTGCGCATGCGCCCGCCCCAAGATCCTTTACGGCCGTTCGATCACTTCCTGATTCTCGGCGCGGGATCGAGCAGCGATAACGAGGTAAGTTTAAAACCAGTTCAAGCTCGAAGTTTTTCAGCTCCCGCCATAAAGTTTCTATAGGATTAAGGTCTGGAGACTGGCTAGGCCACTCCATGACCTTAATGTGCTTCTTCTTGAGCCACTGCTTTATTGCCTTGGCGGTATGTTTTGGGTCATTGTCATGCTGAGAGACCCATCCACGACCCAATTTCAGTGTTCTGGCTGAGGGAAGGAGGTTCTCATGCAAGATTTTACAATACATGGACCTGTCCATTGGCCCCTCAATGTGGCAAAGTCGGCCTGTACTTTTAGCAGAGAAACAGCCCCAAAGCATAATGTTTCCACCTCTGTGCTTGACTGTAGGGATGGTGTTCTTAAGGTCATAGCCAGTATTTTTCTTCCTCCAAACACGGCGAGCTGAGTTAATGCCAAAGAGCTCAATTTTGGTTGAATATGACCGCAGCCCTTTCTCCCAATCCTTCTCTGAATCATTTAGCTATTCATTGGAAACTTCAGACCGGAATGTACATGTGCCTTCTTGAGGGGGACCTTGCGGGCTCTGCAGGTTCTCAATCCATGGCGGTGTATTGTGTTACCAATGGTTTGTTTGGGGTCTGTGGTCTCAACTGCCTTGAGATCAATAACAAGCTCCTCCCGTGTAGTTCTGGTTTGATCCCTCACTTTCCTCATGATCATCCTTACCCCATGAGGTGAAATCTTGCATGAAGTTCCAGACCGAGGGCGATTGATGGTTATTTTGTATTCCTTCCATTTGCAAATAATTGCTCCAACAGTTGTTTACTTCTCACCAAGCTTCTTGCGGATAGTCTTGTAGCCCATTCCAGCCTTGTGCAGGTCTTCAATCTTGTCCCCAACGTCTTTTGACAGCTCTTTAGTCTTTCCCATGGTGGTGATGTTTGAATGAAAGAAAGAGTTTCTGTGGACAGGTGTCTTTTATATACATAATGAGTTGTCGTTAGGAGCACCTTCTTAAAGTGACAGGACTAATCTGTGTACCACATAGCCAGTCTGTGGGAGGAGCCAGAATTATTGTTGGTTGGTAGGGGATCAAATACTTATTTTACTCACTGAACTGCAACTCAATTTATAACATTTGTATCATGTGTTTTTTCTGGATTTTTGGTTGATATTCTGTCTCTATCATTTAGAATACACCTATGATAACAAATTATAGACCTTTCATTTCTTTGTACGTGGTCAAACTTACAAAATCTGCAGGGGATCAAATCCTAATTTTCCTCACTAAAGTGACAGTTTTATTATCCTAGTTTTGTTTTATTCCTAAATGCCTTCGTAAGGAGAATTGTCTCAAAACTGTCGCAAACTTGCAAAGAACATCCTGGATGACACCTGATAGCCCTGAAGTGCTTAGCTGACTTGAGGGAATGAAGCTTGATTATCTTTGCACTACTTCAGGAAGTGCTCAGGAGTAAGTATGAGCTCGGGCATGTTCGCAGCTCCACGTGCCGAGCCTGCCAGGAAGCTGACAGCGCCGCAGCGCCAATCGCAGGCACTGAGAAATGTTCCCGGTCCGCAGCTGCAGAGATCGGGAAATGTCTCAGTGCCTGTGATTGGCGCTGCGCGCTGTCAGCTTCCTGGCAGGCTCGTTACGTGGAGCTGCGAACACGCCCAAGCCCATCCATACTCAGGAGGTCTTCTAGAATGTGCGACAGTTTGGAGGTGTTTTATTGTTGCAAAATGCTGTAAGCAGTTGGGAAATGATGGGAAATGTTGCAAAACATGTGCGGTGAGTTGTTGCAAACACATAAACTCTTCCCAATGTATTTAGGAAATGGACATACCACTGCCACTTCCCCAGTTATGCAGACCCATAATAACTTATATGCAAAAAATGATTGGTTAAACCTAGAATTGTTGTTTTTTTTTTTCACCATTACATTTCCCTTATACTGTCTTTGTAAACTATACTTTGTTAGCTGAATAATTAAAGACCAACTCCGGTTAAACGTGATGACTCAGGGACCTTAGACCACTGCAGCGGAGGGGAAAAGAGGCTCCAGGGACTGGTCTAAGAGCAAGCCGGCTCCAAGGTTTGGGTGAGTACAACTTTTTTTTTTTTGTTTACTCTAGGCAAAAATGAGCAGTTAACACTTGCAGTGTGGGGGTAGGTTCATTTTTAACCTGAGTTTTGCTTTAAGAGATAAAAAGGAGGTCTCTGTGCAGAATAAGAATTTTGGTAGTTAAATTGAACCTTTTCATAGATATCTGTACTTCCGACCAATAAGAGGGACGACTGAGGAGGAAAATGGAATAGAGGGACTTGGTTCCAAATAATGGCCAGTTCCGAGGTATGGCAGCAGCTGAGAGTATGTAGAATTTGCCCTTTTACTAGGAGCATAGCTCCTCCAGAAGTGCTGATGAGTATAACTTTTGAAAGTTAAGCATTAAAACTCATGTAGGGGACATAGTTCACTTATCCAGCTTATGTGTTTTGCATTCAGGCATAGCTGCGTTGCACCACCCAACTGCTAAAAAAATGACTTTATTGCAGGTTATCTGGATATAAGCTCCTTACGGTGTCATAAAATGGGTGTCAGTGCTTTGTAACAAGAGTCTGCAGTCCAGTTCTGGAGCACATGTGGGAGCCATAGGGCCCTAGGCTCCTGCTTAGGTTGCCTTGTGGATGATTCGGATCTGAACATAGGTATGGGATCTAGGCAGAGGATCATGTTGCTAACATCCTCTTTTGAGCTGCAGTTCTCTAAAGTCCTATGTACTCCAGGAAGTGCAAGTCAATGATAGGCAGAGATAGAGGGAGCTAGACATGCCTGTCCTGACTACCCTATTTATACACACAGTGCAGTTCAGGGAGCTGTCTCTTTGACTTTGGGACAGTGTGCAGCTTAAGGTACATATACAAATTCCTATATTTCATAGTGGCCGTTATTGGGCTGTCCGGGTTCTTCACTCAGTAAATGTGATCATACTGGCCAGTAGGTGAGAGACTGGGCTAGTGTGCATCTCCATCTTTGCAAGGGAATCTAGCACTGAGCAGCCACATTCATTCTTCTGCAGCTCTGGGTAGGCTGAGAACTGTGCAACGTAAATACTAAAAGGAGGGAAAAACAAACACCAGAAATGTGAGAAATCACTACAGATTAGCTTTAAAGAGATGTCCCAGTCAGAAAGAATAAACCTTTTTGTGAGAAGCTGATGGATATTGTTTACACTTTGGTCTGTCCCTTTTCCCTTATGTAGTGTAACTGTGTAGCTTTGACGTATTCAACTCCCATTTCTGAGGCTAGTAACTTTAAAGCTTTGCTCCAGTCAGATATTAAAAAAAACACCAACGAATGTACTTATTTATAAAAAAAAAATATTTGAATGTGTTTTTAAATGTAGCTAGTGTAAATATCAGAATTTAATCAATTTCATCATCTTGTATTACCCTGTACAGCAGCACATATGTGCTGGCAAAGAATATGTTAACTGGAGCAGAGAGATGACATCATCCGTCTGCAGCTCCTTTATTGTCCAAGCAAAGGCTAGGGACAGGGAGGTGACCTAGCTTTGTTGCTTAAAGTAGAATTAAACCTTTTTTGCATATACTGTATCTCCTGCTAGCAAGCAGGAGATATACCGTATATACTCGAGTATAAGCCGAGTTTTTCAGCCCATTTTTTTTGCTGAAAAGTCCCCCCCTCGGCTTAAAAACATTTTTAAAAATTAAAAAGTTACCAAACGGGTTATTACTTAACTGTGTCTCCGCCGCTCGCTCCCGTCTGAAGGGTCATGGGGCGAGCGCAGTAGAGACCTTCGCCTGGGAGAAGAGGAGAGATACAGGGTAAGTCAATGCACGCAGCCCGGCAATGCATGCGCACAGACACCATGGGACACAGAAGACGCAGCAGTCAGCGATGGATCAGAGACCGGCATCAGCGCTGAAGGGACTCCTGAAAACTACTGGAAAGAAGAAGACGATCGGATCAAGAGGCATCATTTAAGGTAAGTCCTTAAACCCGCATGAGGGGGGTGACTTTAACTCCTTCATGACCAGTGCTGATTACATCACTTCTGGTCCCATAGCTGTCATTGCAACATACAAATTTGCAACTGCCAGCATTTTATTCTATAGGGTCTTGGGTTTCAGAAAATATATAATGTTTGGGGGTTTTAAGTAATTTTCAGGCCTATAATGTGGATTATAACATGTAAACAAAAAATGAAGAAGAAAAAGGCCTCAGTCATGAAGGGGTTAATGGCACTGACTGCAGCAGAGAAAAGTTAGGTCACCATGCTGGCAGTGCTGTGTTTCAGGGCTGGATGGACAGAAATACAAATGCTTTTGGCAGGTAAAACGTTTCCCATATGTGTAGTTGACTGTTGTAATTGGCTGTTCCTTTGCAGTGAAGCTTTCATTTTCAACTTTGCCACCTAAAACATGCTGTCTCTGTTTGAACTCTGGGCTGCCTCAAAGTGGCAAATACTGTAGGAGTTTAGGATAAACCAGTCTTGTCTTTGACAGTCACTGCTTCTCTGCCCAATATCTCAATTAATTTCCACATTGGTCTTTGTACCATTTTGTTAAATAGAGGTCAGTACTTTGTATACTGGCCTCATAGTTATATAGAGATTCAAAACAATTGTGTTCTTTATCTTGTCAATGAAAAACTACTGGGACACAATATGCTAGAATGTCATAACAGAGCATGTTTTTTTCTTTTTCAGCAGCCGGCCTTCAAGCTAGACATACATTCCATGTAGCATGAAACAAGCCAGGGACTATAAGGATGACTGAAGTTACTATCCCTTCCAAAATGCGGAAGGGCCTCCTAAAGGACCCTGACATAGCGGATCTATTTTGCAAGGACGATCCAGAGATATTATTTGTAGATCTGCATGAAATTGGACATGGCAGCTTTGGAGCAGTTTACTTTGTAAGAACTCTTTGATATGTATTAATAACTTGTATAGAACATAATTGTGTTTTTTTATCAAGTATATCTATTTTTATTAAATGTGACCTCCCAAAAAGTTATTCCACACAACATTTGAGCAGACCACCCTTCTGTCCTTGGCTGGGAACGCTCCATTCTCATCACAGTTCACCTGCTACCTCCAGCCTGGCTTCTTTAGCTTGAATAGAAGAAACCATGCCTATGGAAGTCTTCAAGGCTGACCACTGCAACTTAATGCATACCACAGTGCTGGTACCAGAGTGCAAGCAGACAGCAGTTCAACTAAAGGACACAAGGTGTTCTCACACTGCAAGAAACAATTCTAGAGAGTTCTTCTTTAAAGTGTATTGCTAGCAAAAACTAGGGAAGAGTTGGAACCCCAATCAGTGTCCTTTTTAAGGACTTTTAACTTCATGAACAGTGGAAATAACAGGATGTGGGTAGAAATCACTCTAAAGTAAAGACAAATACTTCAGATGTCACCAGAATAGGTGTCCCCAATGGAAGACTTCCACTCGTCTCCTGCTCCAGTGACAAATGTAACATGTTTAGTTTTTCTATGACTGGTATGGGTGGCATTTGTAAGAACCTCTACTCTTAAAGTGACATTAAAGTCAAAAGTCCCCGCCCCACAATGCTAATGTGAGGACTTACCTTAAATGATGTCTGTTAATCCAATTTTGATTTTTTCCTGTAGTTTTTAGCTGGTGCGGGTCTCTGATCCAGCGCTGACTCCTCTGTCCTCCTCTTCTCTCATGTCCCACGGAGTCTGTGCGGGTGCAAGCTGCTCCATATACTTACCTTGTGTGTCTCCTCGTCTCCCGGCCGAACATCTGAACTACGCATGCGCCCGACGCAAGATCCTTTGCGGCCGCCCGAGAAATTTTCAGATGTTCATACGGGAGCGCGCGGCGGACACACAGGTAAGTATAAACCCTTTGCAAAAGTTTTTTTCTTTTTAATCGTTTTGCATATATTTACTGCTTGCAAGCAATAGATCTATGCAAAAACATGCGAGGATTTAATAACACTTTGAGTTGTTATAATAGTCCCTCTTAGAGATCAGCATGTATGATGTTATTCACTAACTTACTAGCGAAGCCCCTCACCAACGCTGACCTGTCTCTTACTTGAACTCAGAGCTGGTAAGTGATGCGGTGTCTGGGCTGCTAGCAGAAGAAAATGTTGTCAAGCATTTAGTTTTCTTTTCCTGACAGCACGTTTGTTGTATATGTGCCCTCAGTGCTGAGCTCAGACAGGAGTATGGGGGTAGGGTATGGAAATCAAGTAATCCCTTATGCCTCGTTCACACTATAGGCAGTGCGTTCCGGTCCGTTTCTGGCCGGCTCAGTTTTTTGCCAGGCTGGAGGGGGCGTGGCGGGCCATTGAAGTGAATGGCACCGTAGCCACGCCCTCCGGACGCAATGCGATCGCACGGGATCGCAGGGCACATTGTGCCTGCAGTTTGTTCGTCTGCGGTGCGATCAAAATGCTGCAAGCACTATTTTGTTGTGCTTGCAGCTTGTTCGTCTGCTTGCAACTGAGCCGGCCGCAATGCGAAGCAGTACGTTCTGGCCAGAATCGGACCGGAACACACTGCGTGTGGTGTGAACGAACCCTGCCTGTGGTGTGAACGAACCTGCACTTTTATAACAATTGAAGGGTGTAGATTTAGATGGCTTGCTAGGCACTGTGTACACCTTGTAGTAATGGCGGTGGGGGATAAAGACTCCTTGAGGTATCTTGAAGGAGCTGAACGTCCCCACCACAAAAAAAAATTGTTTATATAAAAATGCTACAAATGCCATTTACACAAATCAGAAAAAAAACATAATAAACGCATTGTAATCACTATTTTTTCAATGATTGAAAATAGGCTTCATGTCAAAAATAAGAATTCCACTTCTGAGCAATATTTGTTTGTTAAATCCTTCTGCATGGGAATCCACAACCAGCTTTCACCATGCTCATTTACAAGATGTTGCTGACCCAATATATGATTCGGTCAAATGTTCTTTGGTGTCACCTTGGTCCATGGAACGGACCAGCTTCCTCTCACCAGATCCCCAGGTCTGCTGCACGGATTAAGTTGAAACCTAAATGCAATTGAGCTGTATTAACATACTAACTGAACAACATCTGGTAAGTGAGACCACTAAAAGCTAGTTGTGGATTGGCATAGAGCCTGTAACTATAAGAGATTTGCAATTCCTAAAACAACTTTGAAGGTTACAAAAAAAAAGGCGAGGTTATGTGCGGTAGATATTTATGTTTGTGAACAATTAAAGTAGCAAATTATTATGGCATGAAATAACCGGTTGGGATAACAAAAAAAAAAAAAATCCTCTACCTTTAGTAAAGTGTTCCTACAGAGGCTTTCTAAATTTTATGTGGTAAAATCCCTCTTCCACACCTTTGTGATAATAATGTTGTGTAATTAAACTTATTTATTAGAGAGTTAATATAATGTATGTATAATAATAGGTGCCTTTTATAACATTTTTTGTATTTCCTGTAGGCCACAAACTCCACAACTAATGAAGTGGTTGCTGTTAAGAAAATGTCCTATAGTGGGAAACAAATGAACGAGGTAAGAATCTTCTGCAGCAGTTATGCATCCCAGGCTCCTCTCAGGAAACTAGCCAGAGGACTGTTGTCTGGTATCTGTAATTATATTCCTTTTAGATTTAAAAAAAGGTCATCCTATACTGGGCTAATATGAGCCTGAGATGGCTACCTGAAGGAAGGTTTTCCAGGTTGGAAATGTTCTATGTTTGATTTCCATTTCCTCCTTGAAGACAGGCCATGCACACTCATAGGATTTATTTGTACTTCTCCTGCAGACCTCTAGTAAACGACAATGGAATCGTATCTTTCTGTTACTGGCTCTATTTGGCAGGCTACTTTGCCAAGAGAAAGTAGTTATATATACTGTATATACACACACACACACACACACACACACCCACACACACACACACACACACACACACACACACACACACACACACGTACTTAGTTGAGCCACCTTTTGCCTTTAATACTGTGGCGATTCTTCATGGCATGAGATGTTGAAAGGTGATGGGAGGAATCTGACACCATGCCTGATGAATAGCACTGTCCAGTTCTGTGAGATTTGATGGTTGTGGAACCAGCGGCCTGATGGCTCTTTTAACTTCGTCCCACAAATGCTCAATTAGATTGAGATCTGGTGATTGTGGGGGCCACCTAAGCAAGGCAAAGTCTCCCTCATGTTCTTGAAACCATTCCTGCACAATACGAGCACCGTGGCATGGCGCATTGTCTTGTTGGGAGAAGCCATCTCCATTGGGATACGCCATCAACAGTAAATAAAAATACCCCCCGGGTGGTGATTATATACCTCCAAAAGAAAGCTCTATCTGTCCCCAAACTTTTTTAACATAAATTGCAAGGCTATAGTCCGGTCATGCTGACTGGTGAAATTTTTGACTGACTGGTGAGACACTATCAAATTTTTCAAGCCCTGTATATATATATGTGCTGTGTAGATACTGTAGGAACTGTCTGTGGTGAAGTGTGGATTTCCATGAAGATGGATACCTGTATGTTAATTAATCTATCCAAAAAGGTATAAAGGGTGTGAAAAGATCATTTTAAAGCCAAAACTTTATTGATGTCTGTACCTATGCTGGCTTTAGTTGATCTTAAAGTCCTGATAAATAACTGTTAGGTCTTTGTCTTCAAACAGAAATGGCAGGACATAGTCAAGGAAGTAAAATTTCTTCAACAGCTGAGACATCCCAACACAATAGAGTACAAAGGATGCTACTTGAAAGAACATACCGCGTGGGTAAGTAAAGCAGCATTGCTCACTGTAGACAGAAAATGTGTTTCTGATTCCTTTATTATATGTTGCTTTGGCAATAACCTTTAGTCATTTCTAATATATAAATGTATAGGTTCATTCTTAATAGCCAAATTTTCATCTGCTAGTCTTTCAGAATAAGAAGTCTCGGAGTTTTCCACATTCAGGAACCATATGTGAAACTTCTTTCTTCACTTAGTAATAGTCTGCAATACAGATCTTGTCATTGGGACCTCTGTGGCTGCTTGGTGGGGATTCACCTGTTGCCTTTTCATATTCTGTCATATTTGCTCAGCAGTGTTTAATCCAATTTTTTTGTTTTATCATTTTAGTGTTGGCTTTCTTATCATGTAAAGACTGAATGTACTTTATCTATTACATTTAAATGTTGTGGGAATTCAAGTTGATTGGTCCCGTCATGAGAAAAATATGTAAGATGTAATTGTTGACCGCTAACTGAAAATGCTTGTTACAGGTCATGCAGGTTCCATATCTTCAGCACTTTGAGTCACTCGCCAGGCAAAGCATGCAGGGTTCTGACTTCACTTACTGCATACTTGTTCTGTCAGTGACTTAGAAGATACTGAAGTAGGAGACCGACAGGCAGTTAGCATTTTTAGAAGATGGTCAGTTATTCTATGCCCACATATTTAATGGTAGGTGTCCCTCAAACATACAGGTGGACCCCACCTTAGCCATTCAGGATTTCACTTAGCAGTATGGGACATTGGAAAGGATCTTATTGGTTGATATAAGCCAGCGCATTTTTTTAGACCATTTTTTTTAGTAGATATGAAACCGGGTAAGTGTAGCATCTCTGCAGACTTAGTCACATACAGTGGGACTCTGGACTTGTCTTTGTGGCTGTATTTAGGAGCAGAGTCTTCTAACATACTAATTAACCAAGGAAAAGAAAAGCAGCTGTATCTGCCTTTTTAATGCACAAATATTACCATCCAGTACTGTTAAAATTACATTTTATTAATTATCCATAATATACATTTTATACATAATAAAAACCAGTTGTGTATCATTAACTTATATTCATACCTTTAACATACAACCTAACAATTCTACATCTCTTGGTATATCATGAATCCCAAAAAATATCAGTGGCATTCCACATATCTCAAATTGTGATGGGGTAGCACTTAAAAAAAAAAAAAAAAGTCTCAACATGTTTTATGAACACTTCTTCAGTAAAGCGGTGGAAATCTGTGATTTATATAAATGGTTAACGCTCGCCACATATCTATAATGCAATAATCAAGCTATGATGTACTACGCTCACATGATTACTATCACATCAATCCATCATAAAACTATTGGTACCGTGTGTGCAACCCATCAAAGTCTTCTAGCATATGTATCTTATTACCAAGATCTGCTTTAACATATTTTTTGGTTTCTTATAGTTGGTTATGGAATACTGCCTGGGCTCTGCTTCAGATTTGTTAGAAGGTAAGAAGGGTTTCTTGACGTATTGTGAGGCATCTAGATCTAGTACATTTTACAACTGGATGATAAGCACAATGTTGTACATCATGAAGCGTTTTTAGACCTGTTCCCATGGTGTCAAAGATTTAGGGCCCATTTGTACTAATGTGTTCTGGTAATGCTTAAAATAAGCATTACCCGCAGCGTAAGGTAACACATGCACAGTTGTGTGGTGGTGTGTGCCATTTTGAGCAGCACCCCAATGCACTTTTACAGTAGCGGGCAATGTACTTGCACTGCATGTAGTGAGATTACATTTTTTTTAAAAACCTACATGCCAGATTTGTTTAGGAGTTGCAGAGTTATGTCTACTCTGTTGCTTGCTGCTCCTACCTCTTTTTCCTCTTGGGTAAAACATAATCTGATATTTTATTGTGCAATGGAAGTATTGCCATGAATGGATTATACAGTATGGGTATACACATCTCTTTTTATATAAGGTAGACCCACTTGTGTTCAGAAGATTTACCCTGTTTTGTATGTGTTTGTTACTTTTGGGACACAGAGACAAGTATTTTGTAAAAGAAACGCCTTTAGATTTCATTGGTCACATCTATCTAACATACTAGGGCTCAAATAAAGTGGGGAGGGACTAGAACACCATAATGAGACACTAAGAGCGCAAATCCGGAATTGTAAATGGTGTAATTTTGGATATATGTAAAAAATGTTTTTTTTTTTAAATGAGGAACTTACTTGTGGTGTCAGGAATCCGGGCACAGTGGTGATTCTGGCGCTGCAAGGAGAGTTGGATAAAATTTGTTCAATTTCCAGTGGTCTCCAAGTGGCAGAGTAGGGGTGAAATAGGACTTTCTTTAGGGGTTGTTCATGGCGGCTGGGAATGGTGTCATCAGTTACAGTAGTGAGCTCGGGGGTCAAGGACTAAGGTAGAGAGCAGATTGGATGCTATGTGTGCCGAGGGGCTGATGTGAAAGCTGCCTCTGGTCTTCGTTTGGTATATGTTCTAGATGTGGTGGAGTGGAAGTGACGGTCGGTTAGGAAGGGGAGTGCACACCACCTGTTGGGTTTTACTGCTGTCTGGGGCTCCATTCAAGAGATTTCCGCTAATTAACTGTACAGGGGACAGTGGTTTCACAAAGCAGGAAATGAGGGAAATCTGCGACAGCAACAAATAAAAATGTTTTTTTAGTAGAGCACAGGAAGACTAGAACCCATGGCCATTTTGTATTTTCCAAATTAGTGCACAGTACTAAAATCACCGATCACTGAGTTAAGTGAAGAATAATAATACATACAAATTTAAAAGCTGGCCATACACTAGATTTCCTAATAAACTTTTATATGAAAGATCTTTCTTCTCCATCCAATAATGCCATCAAACACTTGATGAATGTCGATGGAAATTTTATTTGATTTGAACATTCCAATTTTGGAATGAATGTAGTTTCTCGAACGAAAACCACGTTCACTATTAGAATTTCGTTTGTTCGAGAAAAAGTTGCCATCCTGCTTCTTTGAGGTTTTTCTTCACTATGGTTGAAATCAATTGTCGATTTTGACCCCATCAGCTAATAGAAAGGCAAATGAAAGATCTTTTGTCCGAAAGTCCTTTTGAAAATCTAAGCAGTGTATGGCCAGCTTTATCCTTCTGTCAACAAATAACCGGTAACTGTATCCAGCAGTTGATTTTTATATAATACAGCACCTTCAGTGTACAATAAATATTCCACAAAGTCCAAACTGCAATATGTGCAGTCCACAATTTTTAGAAGTAAACTTTAAAATTGTGCAACCACTAAAATGTCCACCGTAGATAAAGCCCATGCTGTGATAGGAATTTCTCAGGTGCTCTCTTTAACCAATTCCTGCCCCCCTCCCAACTTTGGGTCAACTCTCCAGATTCAATTCACCTTTTAAAATACTAAAAGGTTTAACAGCGCTTCCCAATTATGGACAATAATATTTCCTCCAACCAATCTGTCCTCACCAGGATTGCTCCAACTTCAGTACTCCACATTTGTACCTTAGAAAAGGAAGGAGGAGAAGAGACTTTATAGTGTAAAAACAGTCTCGTTTTATTAAGACAAAAAAAAAACCACAATCCGTGGTGCTGTAGTAGCACCAGTTATTTTGTGCAGTCTTCCTCCTCTGCTGCTCTCTCTAAGAGTACTAACCGCATGTGCAGATTTTACTCACCTGACCAGTTGGGTTTCATCACTTAGAAATGTTGTATATCATTGAGATATAACACAGCAGCTGAAGCACTTTATTGTTTAGGTTTAGTTTAGTTTTAGCACAGAGTGTTTTCTATATATAGTTTAGCTGTCCTGTGTTGTTGTTAAGGCCCCTTTACGTATTTGCGGTAGTTAACTTGCATTGTGTTAAGCCAGCCTATTCATTTAAGTAGGCTTTTTAAGGAACCAAAATGCACCAGAAAGGGTGCCTGCAATATTTTGTTGCAGCCCAGTGCACCACAATGGACTGTAATGTTACCATGTGTTGTGGTGTATGCAATGCAGGTAAGTTTGGAAAGGTCTACTGCAACACACCAACTCAAATGACTTGTAACGCCACTGTGTGAATCGGGCCAGAAGATTTTCCTTCCCACTCTGTCTGGCGAAACTCTGTCTGGTGACACCATGGCAGTAGTTCAGGGGAAAACTCTCCAAGGAGCACAGGATAGCAGTAAATACCCACGGGGTTGTAATTCTTTCCTACTCTATCCAAAACTAGAAAGGTTTGGGCTGGGCTTGCACTTTGACATTATTCTCTAATAATCTGATTGCTATGAGCTATGCTTGGATTCCAGTTCTCATAAAATAGACTTAGAGTGGAGGATACTTTTTAAAGTTTGACATTAGGCATATGACTTGTGAGGAAAAAAATGCCTGTGCATCAAATGTGAGCAGATGGATTAGGATACCAACTCTCCAACTAGAAGGAAAGATTCTGGGAAATCATGATGGCGCCTTCTCTTATACAAGTGCTAATGAACAGATAAGTTATTGGTTTTGCCCAGCCACACAGCAACAAATTATTTCATTTATAGCATTAACTATTTTTGGTGTTTTCTCAAATCGGTCAGTTCTCATTCCAATGTTTTTCTGATTCGATTGTGCACTCACAAAAGCAGATTTTGTTTGTAGTGCTGGTAGTAACAGGTTTTTTTTTCTTCTTTTGTTTGCAGTCACATGAGTCCTATTTAAATGTAGACTATTAGACTTACTCTATGGTTATAAGAGATGGTTTGAGCTTTGATTTGGTTTTGCTGTTTTTGTTTAAACTTTTTTCTTTTTTGCAGTTCATAAGAAGCCACTTCAGGAAGTGGAAATAGCTGCCATTACTCACGGTGCCTTGCAGGGGCTGGCCTACCTGCATTCTCACAATATGATTCACAGGTGAGAAGATCTGCCTGATGCCCAGGTGCCGCAAATGTGTTTTTCAATGTCCAAGTGAACTTTCAGGTTAAATCTACTAAATATGTTCCAAATGCATCAAAACATATAGTGTGCAAATTCCTAGTTCAAAGCAGCCGTAACCTAAGTATAAAAGCCTGTCTCCTGCCAGCATGCTGTAAGGAAGGACCTGTGCTCTCTATGTGGGAGCAGTGGTCTCTCTGCCAAAGTCCAACTCACCCCATGCAGAGTCAGTAAGGGCTTTCTGATAGCTGCGCTATTGGTGTGACTCGACAGGGGTGTGTTGAGCCTCTGCAGAGAGCAAGGGCCCTGCTTTACAGCATTCAGGCAGGGAAAGGCTTTTCTAAAGAAAAACAAAACTAAGATTTTTCACATCCTTGTTTTTTGGCTTTAATCATTGTATCCCATCAACAGTTGTTTTTTTTTTTTTTTTTTTTTTTAAACAAAAATTTTCTAATGAGCTGTTACAGAATTCTGTTTATAACCATGTGTTGAGCTTTTTAAAAGGGTACACTTGGAAATAATTCCATGATGAATGTAGATACCTCCTATTCGCAAGAATGTTCCAACAAGCATGTTTTTTTTATAGCAAAAGTTCCAAGTTTTATTTTTTATTATGTTTTCATTTGATTTAACGGTCACATATGCCCAGCATTATTATGCCACACTTACCTTACAAGTGTGCTCTCCTCCAGTGTTGACCGATCTAGGCTGTCGCACGCTGAGTCCACTGCCACCACCATATCTTCCTCTGCGTCTTCCTGGTCCCCTAGTGTTCTGCTCGATCATTGGGCTGTCTGTGATGGTGTAACTTCTGTGCATGTGCACCCGACTCCGTACCCAGCATATGGCAAATACTGGGAAGGTGGGAAGGATCCAGGTTGGTGCTTCAGTGAAGTAAAAAAAAACTGCTAGAGGTTAAAAGCAGCTTTTTTGGCAGAGGAGACTTTGCATGTTTATTCTGCCAAAGAACTCTAGTTTCTAGCAGTTTTTCTTTTTACTTCTGTATTTTGCACAAGAAACAAGATTTGACCGGGCAAGGAGATACATAGGATATGACATAGAATAATGTAATTCTAGTCTACCTATACAGCAAGTTCATACATTCAGGTGACATATAATTGAAAGGGCAATCGGCTTTGTCTCGGAACTAAGCCACAAGAAAGTCCCAAAGCGCAAGAGAACAGTAAATTTGGAAGATTCAATCCAGATACAATCATTATTCAGAGAAGAGTTGGAAATCTAACCAATAAAAATAAGTACTCGCCCAAAATATTTGGAATCGGCACCGATACTGGTATCGGTAACGGTGCATCCCTAGTTTCTATTGGCCTTTGCTAAAATATCCTGCAGTATCAAGCTAAAATATTATATTATTTTACTATTTATTTTAATAACACATACTCTAATTCTAAAAGCATACCCAAAGATGATCTAAAGGAAGATAAAATTGCATTACATTGATGGGAAATGATCTGAATTGCACCCCTAAGTGCTGTGTATAAAGGTTCTCTTTCTGGAGAGCTGGAGGAATGAACAGACATAGAAGGTCATCTCTCTTTTCCCAGGGATTGAATGGACAGTGTCACCAGCGGGGCAAGACCTTCCCCCTCTGTTTAAGTGACTTGAGGGCTGTAGTTGTTGGCTTAGGGAGTGACCAAACAATTGGGGTCATGTTCTGGGAGGGAGTGGGCATAATTCTAAGTTCATCTTGCTTACAAAGGATGTCACAATAATGGACAGTTGTGGCAGTTGCGCAGTGCATAGATCCACTGCACTTGAGTGCAGTGTTATTTGGTGAGCACTGACTACCCTAGAATTTTTACCAGGACCTTTAAAAGCTTTCTCACTGACTGGTAGATTGCAAATACAGGCTGCTTTGTACTTTTAGCCTTCATTATTAGGAGTAGATTAAAGGAGAACTATGGGGTCAGTGGTTTTCCCCATAGTTCTCCTTAGGGTAACGGGAGGACACAAACTAGCGTCCTCCCGTTACCCTAAGCTCAGTATACCGCAAGCTACAGCTAATGTTATTTTATTAACACAGCATTAGCACACAGCTGTGTTATTAAAATAAATAGTAAAATAATATAATATTTTACCTTGATACTGCAGGATATTTTATACAGCTAAATATATTTTATACAGCTCGCAGTATACTGAGACGCCGGAGCGGATCCCGACGTAGATGACGGGATCCGCCCAGCTGCGTGAGTGACAGCTGGCTCTGCCTATCTAGAGGCAGAGCCAGCTGTACCCGCCCCCTCCCCCGTCCGTTCCGCCAGTCAGCGCTGGCAGATCGGAGCGGGGAGAGGGGAATCCAGCCCCTCCCCCTGTCACGGCAGAGAGCCGTGACGGGATCGAGAGGTAAGCGAACCTGGTATGTGTTCGCTCACCTCACGATCTACTGAGCCGACCTGTGACAGTCTCATTGTCACAGGTCGGCTAGAACTATGAGGTGAGTGAAAAGCACTCACCTAATAGTTCTCCTTTAAGTTATGTTATTGGCCTAAAAAAGGGTTGCCAGATATAGTTTAAGTGGCATTGAGGGATGTACAAACAACTGACAGACTTGCTGCCAGTAAGTTGGTTTTCAGTGACAGAAACCATAGTCTAGAAGTGAGTCATTGTGTTAAAGGTAAGGGGCAGGGCATGCATTATGACCCTGGAAGTTCAAAATTGTTTGGAAAGTTATTACTTGCAGATATCTACCCATAGACAGGCAGTTCATCAAGTGATGAACCCAACCGTGTGAATATGTCACCAATTGCCCCCTTGTAGTTTGGGCACTGTACACACTTGGTTAAAGGATTGTTCTTTTTAGAATAAGGAAAGATGAGAACCCAAAATGTACTGCAAAATTTCTCTAATTTTTTTTGGAGAAACTCTGCTTGTGATGATCAGAATTTCCAGTCTCCTTTGTTCTCGTTATCTCTTAGACCTCCAGGGTGACAGCGTTTCAGCACGTTTTTTACAGCGTGTGTCAGTGCATTTTCTGTTCATAAGCAATAGCGTTTTAAGGTGCGTTTTCAACTCATTTTACAGTTGTTCAAAGAAAAGCAATCTCAGCTGCAAAACGCGCTGAAAAAGCGCACAGACAGACAAAAATGTGCTGATTGGCGCGTTTCTGTTGAAGTCTGTAGAGCAAAACGGTCTAAAAAGTGCCTCATAAGAAGCTCAGGGACTATTTCAAACACCAGGCATATTTTGACACGTGATTCAGCACGTTAGTGTGAATGGTGCCCATAGGAATACATGGGATTTTATATTACATGCGTTTCAGAGTGGGGAAAAAACGCACAATGAAGCGCCCTGGTGTAAACGGGGCCTTAAATGTTAACCCATACACTGCCTGATTATTGCTGATTGTTCTTTCTCCATATCTCCCCATGTATATAATAATGTATAGGTGGCCTACAGGAAGTTGTACTACAATGGTATAGTCTGCTAATAAGGAGCATGTATGTTCCTATAATTGTCATTTCACCTCCATTACCTTCAATTTTCATGAGCTCCTGAAAAATCTACTTGTGTATCTGTAAATGTTATTAACTACTCTTTCGCAAAACGTTATAGTTTAGGGTTACTATTGCCTTCTAAATGTTCATTAATTTCAGATATGCTAACAAAAATAATGATCTATAATTCTGGGCTGTTTTTGGCCCTGCAGTTGTGTAACCCTGTAATATAATTATTTAAAGCTTCACGACCCATTTGTGGAAATTAAACATTTATAATAACCTGAAATATATGAAGGTTCTTTGTTATGTGCAGTTGTTCCATTACATAATTTTCCCAGGACTTAAAAATTCTGATAGGAAAAAGCCAGTTAGACATGACTGCAGCCCCCTCTAGTGGCAGCAGATTATTGCAGTGTTTGGGGTACATGCAGTTTAACATTCAATATCTTTTCTTGATCTTCTTTTTGTGACCCTGGGCAGTACGTTTTGCTCTAGAATTATTTGAGAGTCCTAGGATTATATTATGCCCTTCTTAGGATCTAGGCACCCTGTTGCAGATGCAGCAAATCAGCCCTAAAACATATCAGAGCCTCCTCCCATGTTGCACAGTAGATACAGTGAGGGGAATTTATAAATACTGGAGCAGACGGAATCTGGAGCAGTTGCCCATGGCAACTAATCAGCATTGACCTTTCATTTTCAAACCTTAACTGAACAAACTGAAGAGAGAAGCTGATTGGTTGTCATAGGCTACTGCTCCAGTTTTGATAAATCCCCCAAGTGTTCTTTTTCTTTTAAAGCAACTTTTTTTTTTTTTTTGTCTGTGAATATAGAGCTGTTATGACTTGCCAAAAACCTGTTAGTTTTATTTTTTCTGTCCAAAGGAAATTTTCCCCACAAGCATTGTGGTTTGTCAATGTGCATTTTGGCAAATTCCAGTCTGGCTTTTTTATGTTTTTCTTTCAACAGTAGAGACTTCTTTTAAGCTCACTGTCACTCCAAAAGTAACAGATGGTGCATCAGACATTGATGTACCTTGACCTTAAGCTTGCATCTCTTTTGAAGGTTTTCCTTGGCTCTTTGTCTACTGTTTGCACTATCCTACTCCTACAATCCAGAGTTGTTGTTCCACTTGCCGCCATGTCCAGGGTGGTTGTCTACAGTCCTATAAAAGTCTTAATAATATTAGCAGCTGTAGTATATCAAGCTGCTTGGAGATGATTTGTTTTATATACTTTACATTTGACATGCTGGTCTATAATTTTCTTTCTGATCTCAGACAACTCTTCATTGCTTTCTCTGGTCCATGTTCAGTGTAGTGCACACGATGATACCAAACAGCTGAGTGATGACTTTTCTCCATGTAAATAGGCTGACTGACTGAATACCAGATAGAAAACATTTTTGATCCTAATTCGGAAAGCAGTTTGAAAAGACACTAGGGGGTATCAACACATTTGTCCACACCCTTTTAGAATATCTTTGTAGAATAACCAATAATGTATCTCTTGTCTGACTTTATTTGCTTTACTTTGACATACCAGACATGCAGGTATATATGAGGCATTGCTTTTAATGTTTCACTTTTCAGAAGGCATGAAGCATTGTTTCAGTGAACTGTAAGGGTACTAACAAATGTGTCCATGTCTGCATATTCATAATTTACAAACCTATAGAAAGTGGTATTAGCGTCCAGTTTAAAAGTGACCTAAATAGGACTGTCATCATTTCAAGAGTAGTGTTCAGTTAGTTATTGTCCCCTAGGTAAATCAAGTGATGTATGTTTTGCGCTATTCATTCAACATTTGCATGAAAACAGACGTTGCTAAAATACCTGCTTCTGTCTGCCATTCTACCTAAAGAGCTATTATTGAAAAATCCTGTATCCTTTCACCATTTTCATAACACTATCCACATGAATATAACTTTTAACTATTGAGAGTGTCTGTTTCTTCTGAGTCTGTATTTTTTATTTCATAAGCCATTAGATTTTGCACCTTCGTGGCTCCTTTTGTAAGTAGTATAGAGATCAGAGGTAGCATTAAGATTAGAAGAGAATTGGGTTAAGTGTTAGGGTAAGATTAAAGGTTAGCAAGTTAATAGGAGTTAGCAGTGAGGTTAAGTGTTAGGTTACAGGACAGTGTTGGGATAATTGTTAGGATCTCTTTTAACCCTTTCGCTGCCAAGCCCTCCGGAATATTTTTCAAATCAGCTGGCCAAGCCATTTTTGAATTTTCTGCAATTTTTTCCTATTGATTTGATTTGATTGAGCGGCTCCAGAGCCATTACTTTTTCATTACTTTTTCTTCACTTAAACCTTCTTAGGTTGGTGCCCAAAAGTGTTTTTCTAACCTTTTGCTTCATTGCTTCATTGCCTCCATACTTCCTGGTATAGCAGCAATGCTCAAAATGACTCAAGTGACTGTATTGGTTTTCTTGCTTTCTGAGTTTAAAATAAGCTTGGGTTGTGTTAAATAAATGTGTTTAAATGTTTATATTAACAAGACTAAATCATACTTTCATCTATGATGCTGAGTTTCAGTAATATGGAAAAATTGCAAAATGTTGTTATAATGTTTAACATTCCACTAACCTTTATGTTGTCATTTCTTTTTTCCTTTTTATTTTTAGGGATATTAAAGCTGGAAATATATTGCTTACTGAACCCGGTCAGGTAAAATTGGCAGACTTTGGATCTGCATCTATAGCATCACCTGCCAACTCCTTTGTGGGAACACCATATTGGTAAGATATATAAACGGATGTACAGTCACTGTAACAGTCATTCGTCCTTTTATAAGGAGGGTGTTTCAGCAACTTTGGCCTGTAACTTTCCATATACTACTTTGGGTGCTGGTGTTTTAGGAAATGTACCAGTGAAAACTAGTTCTCATTGTCACCCTATTCTAATGAAATTTTAGTTTTTATACCAAAGTATCATTAAGCTGACCCCTCAAATGCTCTCAGTCTGTCTCAACTGATTGTTTCAGAGAGTCTTATGAATCTTTTCCACCTTTTCCAGATCGTGAATCTGTGTCAGGAGCTCCAAAATGTTCTTGGATTGCTGTTTGAGTTTAGCTCCCTGAGAAATGAGAATACCTCTGATATAGCATTGATGGGCCTCCAGGGGTGTGCAATTCCTATTCCCAAAGCCCAGGACATGATGTTCCGGGAGCCATGAAGGTGTTTTTATTTTTTTTGTGCTGTGGGCAAGCAGGGCTAAATGTAGAGCAAGGGAGCAGCCACTTGTACAAGTGATCTGGGCGGCTGTACAGCTGCCCAGACCACTTGTAGCAGCCTGCTTTTCCCCTCCACCTCCCCGCTGTGGTTTTCTGGGAGACCAGGGACAATGGCAAACAGCGTCAGGATGGAGAGCAGGGAGCAGACCAGAAAATGTCCGTTCTCTGATCTGCTCTGTGTGATCAGTGAGACAGCAGCACTGTACTCACAGCGCTTCCTCTCTCAGCTATCACAAACTGGGCTGCACAGGAAATCGAGCACAATGTTGTGCTCGATCTTCTGTATTGTAGGGCAGGCTCCATAAAGAGAAACTGTCACCTCCAAACGCTATCCCATAGCCCCTCTGCTTTAGCAATAAAGTTAAGTGGAAAAAAAAGTAACGGAAAAAATAATACCATTAAAAAAGAAAACTAACCTTGTCGCCCGCGTTGGTGGGTGGGTGCGTTCGTGCGCACGCGCGGAGTACTGCCCCCATAATATTGTGTGCCATATTGTGGTAGCACTCTCTAACATACACAATGTGCATTAAGTAATTGGGAAAAATGGAATTACCCGTTCAAATATGGCCTCCTCTTCCCCCTGCTATACTTGCCTTTTGGGGAATGGTCCTTCCCCTCCGCTGGTACAAGTGCACTGTCTGTACCCCATACTTCCAACCAGTGCAGCCCTTCGCTATGGATTTTTTATTTCACTTACAAATATGCAACCACTCATTGGTCAGCGTGGTCACCTGACCGCGCTGACCAATGAGAAGGTGCTTCTTTGCACGGTTAAATACAGTTTTGGGTAAAAGAAATATCAGGGCAAGTAGATTGTCATGAGGGACAAGTAGATTGGGCCCCACGCTTTAATTTTTAGACAAGTAGTTTTTTTTATTTTTTTATTTCCACACCCCTGGACTCCGAAATTGAGAAGGGGGAGGAATGTGAGGATTAATGGAGCTGCAAAACATTGCCAAGCTCAATTTTAACACTAGACCTGATATAATTGCCTTAGAGAAGGAACTCTTTAGGTTTCCACTTCCGGTTTTCATGCCCTCCTCTTATGCATATATCGGGGCATGGTCAGAAATAGTTCCCATCTTGGTTAATCTGACATGATGGAGGTCTGGGTGTTTTATCAATAAATAATCAGTTCTTGAATAAGAGTGATGCACAACTGAGCTGTGTCCTTTTCTGTCATATGGCATAATCCGCCATTTGACTACTAACTGTTCATGTGTAGTGTCTTTTCCAAGAGGCGAATAAATGAGTAGGAAAGATGTGAGGTGGTGTGCAAAAATATATGTTCTTTTTGTAGTACCCATTTGTCAAGAGTCCCAAAAAGTTGGTACATAAAATATCACAAATTACCTGCACACTGCTACTTCTTCGTAGTGGTGCTGCACATAGAAACCAAACTAAAAAAGTGAACAAATGAGTTTCAAATTGGTTGCTACAGACATTATTAGTGCTTTTTCTTTAACCTCTTGCCGTCCGCCCGTAGTAAAAAAACGGACGGACGGCACTGCTGCATTTGCGGGTTGCCGTCTCCAGACGGCAATTATTTTCTGCTCGCGTGCGCCCCCTAGCGGGCACGCACGGGCAGAAAAGACCCGACGATTAAACACACCCGTTACCGGGTGTTTGACATATAGGCGATCAGCGGATTATATTTTACCAAAAAATTGGGTAATAATAAATGTTTTATCATTTAATATAGGGGAAACTGTTTTTTTTAAAAAAAAATCGGTAATTTTTCCTTAATATAGTAAAAAATAAAAACCCCAGTGGTGAATAAATACCACCAAAAGAAAGCTCTATCTGTCCCCAAAAAAGGGTATAAAATTCATTTCAGTACAGTGCTGCATGACGGAATAAATGTCAGTCAAAATACCGCAGCGCTGAATACTGAAAAATGGCCTGGATGGGAAGGGTGTTTACCACCGCGGATGTCAACTGGTTAAACTAGTTGTTGGAAATAATCCAAAATGTACTAAGGTGTAACATGATTGTAACACAAAGAAGAAAATGGTTTTGTTATTTAAGGTGTACCTTGCCTTCTTTCTAGTAGCATGAATTTATTATAGGAAAAAGTATGGTAAAATGACATTTTTGAATGTTAATACACGTTTACATTACATTCTATTTCACAAACTTTAAATTCTAGGAATAAAAGAAAATTGTAATTGTGGCATGTGCAAAAGTGTAAACACCCTTCCAACCATCGATAAACACTGTGTTTGCAAGGTTCCTGACTCTAATGACCTCATTAGGTCTTAAAGAGTTCTCACCTGTTGACAGTTGCAGAGCTTAATAAAATCTGACAATCAAAACTTTAAGGTGCCCATACACCTTAAGACCATCGCAAGACTTTTGTCTTGCGATGGTCGTATGCTTATTGAAAGCTCGTACGATCTGCCCACCTTGGACGGGCAGATCATACTTGCGATCATCGAAAGCCCGCCCCGCTGAGGGGCGGGCTTCCGATGACCGCAATGCAGAACGGGCAGTGTGCGCACACCGGCCTGTTCCGCAGCTATCGGACGAGCAGGCTAGAAACGCGCCGACAATCGTACGATTCTCGGCGGGTTTTCGAGCATGTTGGTTCGACAAAAGACGTGCGACCGTACAGTAGAAACGGTCGCACGTCTTCGTTCACACTGCTCGATTCTCGTACGATCGTGGGATTTCGCCCGATTCTCGTACGAGAATCGAGCAGTGTATGGGCACCTTTAGACTGTTACTTAACAACCATGGGCTCCTCTAAGCAACTGAGTTAGAATCTGAAAATGAAGCTACTGCAGGACACAATAGTGGTGTAGGGGTCAGCTGGAGGAGCCAAAAAAGCCAGAGGGAGATGCTTATTCTACACACACAGAAGTATACAATCATATCAGTTCTGAGAGCTTTAGTACATAGTGAAATTTCCGCAAACTACCCAATGTGCAGGTCAGTATAATTCCGCCGCTTTACAGGTTAGTGTTATGGTATGTTTTAACAATCTGATGGATTTGCTTGAACATATAAGGAATGCAAAACCGTATTCAGACAAGTTGTGGCCATTTGGGAACAGGTGCCATGGATTGATGAAACAAAAATTAAACTCCTTGGCCATGATCACCAAAGGTTTTGTGTAGGGATGCACCGACACTGTTTTTTCAGTATCGAGTAGCGATATTTTTTTCCGGTACTTGCCGATACCAAGTACCCTTGCCGCTTTCCCCCCCCGATTATCAGGAAGTCGCGGGGACAGATCATGACCCGTCGTCTGGCTTCCTGATTGCCTGTGAAGCTGGTGTTCTAGCTAAGGAACACCGGCTTCAGAAGCTGCATGGCTTACTGACCCAATCAGAAAGCCGGGCAGTAAGTCATGAGGTGCCCTCCGGCTTCCTGTTTGGTCAGGGTGCCAGGCTACCTAGCAACAAGTAAAGCCAGCTTCCTAGCCAATCAGGAAGCCAGACGGCATTTCATGACCCACCTCCCGGCTTCCTGATTGGCTAGGAAGCCAGCTTCACTTGTTTCTAGGCACCGTGGATTCTTGACCAATCAAGAAGCCGGGACGCAAGTCATGACGTGCCGCCTGGCTTCCTGATTGGTTAGGAAGCCAGGCTGCTAAGCAACACATGAAGCCGGTTTCCTAGCCAATCAGGAAGCCGGGAGACGGGTCATAACCCACCGCCCGACTTCCTGATTGGAAAGGAAGCCTATTCGTTTCCTAGACTAGATTAGTTTCCTAGATTAGACTAGCCCAAACACTGACCAGTTCTCATTAAATTATGTTTTCCAATACTTGTACAGCAATTGTATAGAGATGTCACCAGCACACCAAAATCCTCTTAGGATAGCAAAATGTTCATTTATTGAACTTCCTTGTCAGATAAACAAGCACTTTTGGGGATGCATAGGGTCCCTTCATCAGGCTTAGCTAAGCCTGATGAAGGGACCCTGTGCGGCCCCGAAAAGTGTGCCGCACAGGCAGCACGGCACTTCGCCTGATGAACGGACTTTGTGTGGTCCCAAAAGCGCTTGCTTATATGACAAGGAAGTACAATAAATGAACATTTTGCTATTCTAAGAGGATTTTGGTGTGCTGGCGAAATCTCTATCCATGCTCCTTCAGCACTGCTGGTCAGAGGAAGATCTCCCTCTGACCGGAAGTTTTGGTATTGGAGCATTTGGGCGAAATATGAGTACTCGGCCAAATACTCGGTATCGGCACCGAACTAGTATCGGTATCGCCGCATCCCTAGTTTTGTGTGGAGAAAAAGAAGAGACCGCATTTGATGGAAAAGAAAAAACTGTTGCCAGCTGTTTAAACATGAGGGTGGATCCATAGGCAGAGACGCAGGTAACTTTGTATGTGTAGAAAAAAAATGGATTCCACTAAATATTAGAAAATTCTAGATGCGGGCGTAAAACGCTCAGGCTGAAAAGGGGATGTCTTCTACAACAAAACAATGAGCCTAAACATACTTTAAAACATACTTGAACTCTTGAAGAAAAGCAAACTGAAGGTTTTGGAATGGCGCTCAGACTTCCCTGAAATCTAAACATCATCTGTAGCTAGATTTAAACATGCTCAGCATGCAAGACGGTCCAAGAATATCTCATGACTAGAATTAAGGTAAACAAAATTTGCTGCAACTAGAATTGAAAGACTCTATGCTGTATACAAAGGGGCTAACAAACTGTTTTCTCTGCCAAAGAGGGTGTTATTAAATACAGACATACTAAGGCGTCCAAACTTTGGCACATGTCACAATTACCATCTTGTAATTCTATGTTTTAAAGTTTGTGTGATTTAAGTAACTACGTATTAATATTTGCAAATATGTTGTTTTTTTACCACTTTGTTTCCTGCAGTAGTTTAATACTTTTCCCAACTTTAGCATTGGCTTGTTGGAGCAGCAAAGACATCAAAAAGCCATACCAGAGTAAATACACTTTTCAAGTCCTGAAATTAACATATAACTTGAAAAACATGTATGTTTCTAAAACAATAGACTAGCCCAAACACTGACCAGTTCTCATTAAATGATGTGTTCCGATTAGGGATGCACCGATATATCGGCCGCCGAAACATATCGGCCGAAAATAGCACTTTTGGCTAAATGCCGAAAGTGCCATTTTCCTTCCGATACATCGGCGCATCCGTGATTTCTTTCCTCCCCGCTGGGCGCTGCTCTGTGTCCCTGCGTGGAGGAGAGAAAGTGGCAGCCGGCCGAGCGCTGCGGGACATGAGCGCTGTGAGCGGCCGGTGTCTCTCCTCCCACACCGCTCGGCTGCCTATCACAGTGCGGCAGAGCGTTGTGTCGGCAGAGACAGCGCTGTCACAGGAGGCTGGGCTCTCCTCTCGCACCGCTCACTCAGCCTCCTGTGACAGCGTGTCAGAGAGGAGAGCAGGCTACATACACTCAGCGATCAGTGATCGCTGAGTGCTTGTAGATAATTGAGGATATGGTATGGTTACTATATCCTCAATTATGAATGAATGGGAAGTGATCTATATACACTCCTGTTCATTCATAATTGTGGTTCTATATTCTATACTATATTCTCAAGTTATCAATGAACAGGAACACTCGTAGAGGATCCCTGTTCATTGATAACAGGGGATACAGAAAAAGAGATTGAGGACTCTGGAGTCTATTCACTAAGCTGCCGTAGGGAGCCAAGTGGAAGACCGACCTGAATTGAAGTGAGCCGAACGCTGTTCGGCTATTCACTTCAGGCTGGTACGGCTAATATCAGCCGCATATCGTCTGAAATCAGCCGTACATCGGGTGGCTTCAAGTGGCTTCGGGTCGGCCGAAAAATTTCATAAAAAAATGAATAAATAAAAATAAATATAACATTTTTTAAAAGTTTATAAAAAATAAAATATTGAAAAAAATTAAAAATAAACATTTTCGGTTTCAGCCTGACAATTTTTTCTATTTCGGTTTCGTTTCGGTTTTTAAATTTTCTATTTCGGTGCACCTCTAGTTCCAATACTTGTACAGCAATTGTATAGAGATGTCACCAGCACACCAAAATCCTCTTAGAATAGCAAATGTTCATTTATTGAACTTCCTTGTCATACAAACAAGGACTTTTGGGGCCGCTCTGGGTCCCTTTATCAGGCTTAGCTAAGCCTGATGAAGGGACCCTGTGCGGCCCCGAAAGTTTGGTGTGCTGGCGACATCTCTATACAATTGCTGATACTTGCGGCACCATCCGCAGTCACCATGAGCATACCCCCACCCCCCCACTACCAGGGATCTTCAGTAAGGAGTGCGACAAGGAAAAGTATTTCTTCGCCAATACTTGTACAGGCACAGCTAGAAGCAGCATTGTATTTGACTATGGAATGATGCTGTTTTCACACAGGTAGTTTCTAAATTGCAAATGAGAATGGTGTGTTCAGTAGCATGCACAGAAGCAAAATTTACACTGCAAATTATTGTAATTAGTATTGCACAGAGGCAGAATTTGCACTGCAAATAATAGCAATTTGCTTAATACATTGCCCCCAAAATTTGTTTTGGTTTTTTAAACTGTCCTTAATCACCAGTGCTCTATCACTCATTTTGAAGTATCTATAATGGCTATTGAGGGCAAAACAAATTCTGAGACAAAGGCTGCCTTGTACACTGATTGCAAGCGCCTATATAGTAGACCAGCAATTGTTCTTGCTCTTCTTTTTTTCCGGGTAGGCTGTGACTTGTTAATGGTCACACTGCTGTGAAACAATACGTAGTAGTACTATTTTAGAGCCACTAAGCCTGCATTGTTCTCAATAAGACATTATCACACAGTCAGATTTATGCATGAACATTTTGTTTCTTAGATCACAATACAGACTTTTTTTACAACCGAATAGTTACACATAGAATGTAAAAGATTTTACTGTTTAATGTTAGTTATTTTTGTCATGGGAAGGGCTAAAGAAAATTACCTTTTCCAGCGTAGCTTATTTCAGATATTGTTGGTTTAAGTTTGCAACAGAAAGACCTATAAATGAAAATCTATCAATATTCATTTTATATTAACTTATATTTTATGTTATTGGTGCTCTTAACAGAGTTTTAACAAAGTTTTTTTGGTGGGTTTTCTACTTTTCAGGATGGCCCCAGAAGTTATTTTAGCAATGGATGAGGGCCAGTATGAAGGCAAAGTTGATATCTGGTCTCTCGGTATTACTTGCATTGAATTAGGTGAGTAAACTAAGAACCAGCAGCTGTGGCTGCACAATTTAATATTGCTGAAGCCACATCATTTGTAACATTGCACATTAGACCAAAACTGGCAATACTTGGGATCGGCTGAAATTCGAGCCATGTGTGGCCCTGTTGGTCACACTCAGCTTGACAAACTTTGATTACAACATCAAAGGAGCCGGGTGGAAAGTTGTTATCTGAACAGTGATTGCATCTTATTACATTTAGTCACTGTTTGGGCATTCAGACAGCCAGCTTTCAAAATACAGTAGCCATCAAGAGGGATTCCTCCATGCACGCTGTTTAGCGTTGATGTGGAAATCAAGTGATTTTTATTGTTTAGCCAGTGGGCAGAAGAGAAATCTACCGTGTATGGTTGGTTTAACCGAGAAGTGCACTAAATTCTTCATGTAGCTGCATGAAATGTGGCCTAGTAACTTCAGTACCAAATAGGGGAGCATGTCTGGAAATGCATTCCGTTATATATAGCCACTTTAATAAATCATGCTTATATAAATGTACACCATGACATAAATGTATAAACAAAGTGTTATAATCTGTCAGCCACTAGATTATTATCCACGTAGAGTACAAAGGCTTGCATGATTTACTGTGTTATCTGTGTATTACTTTCCAGTATTTATATAGCATCAACTTATCACAGAGCACTATAAAAAGAATCATTCACACTAGTCTCTACCCCTGAAGGAGGTTTCAGGTTGTGGTAAGACAGTGGATCACCTAGAGGAAATCCTCTCGTGCACAGAAAGAATGTGCACATAGTACCCCTGGCAAGATCCAGGACCCAGAGCTGGAATACAAGGAGGCTCACCTCTTAGTTGTTACCACCATATATAGTATACATATGGACAATATTTATTGTACATATCAGTCAAAATAAGTCTTATAGGTACGAGGAAACAGAATGTGCAAAAAAAATACTAGCTCTGATTTCTCCAGGAAAAATAATAATATTATAATTGTTGTCAATGACCAGGTAAATGACTACAGGAAACTCTTGGTATCACCTAGGACTGTGTATAGAGGTCACTCCAGTCAGGTGTTCTAAATAGTTTTTACACATTTCTGCTGGTGCTATATAGTTTCTCTATAGGCTTAATTTATTAATTTGCAATTTTTGATATTGTATGCCACATGTGGGTTAGAAAACAAGGTTTATAACGTGTGCGATCATACTGGTGAAACTCGAATAATTAGAATATCGTGCAAAAGTAATTGCAGTAAGTGCTGCAAAAGGGGCCCAAACCAAGTACTGAGTACATATGCATGCTTGTACTTTTCAGAGGTCCGATATTGTTCTATGTACAATCCTTGTTTTATTGATTGCATGTAATAATCTACTTTTTTGAGGTTGTGGATTTGGGGTTCTTGGGGTTTTCATGAGCTGTAAGCCATAATCATCACAATTATGACAAATCACGGCTTGAATTATCTTGCTTTGCATGTAATGAGTCTATCTCATATATTAGTTTCACCTTTTAAGTTGCATTAGTGAAATAAATGAACTTTGCACGATATTCTAATTATTCGAGTTTCAGATGTTTGTTTGGGTCGTCAACGAGGAGTAATTCAATGTCTTACAGTTTTTAAACCTGATTCAGAAATAGTTTTTCATTGGTGGTAAATTTAAATTCAGGTGGGATGATAGCTTTAGCTTTTCACCTGCTAAAAGCAGCTATACAATTTAGTTATCACATGATTTAGCAGCATTTGTTTTAAAGTTTGGGGATTCCAGAGTAGTGGAAGACAATTAGTAGTTTTTGGAAGACTGGTTGCTACTACGCTGCACTAGAGCTAATTAAATGTGTGCCACGTGTTTGGTATGTTAGGGACAAGGCTGTACAAAATAGATGGGCTTCTGCACATCATGAATGTGGTTTTAAACCATAGGAAGCTATTATGTAAATGTTCACAAAGCTTTTGTGGCACGCCTTATATTTCATACATGTGAAGGTTTTATTGGGTTAGGTGATGGTCTGTTGTGTCAGGTGTTGTTTTGGACAGACAATAAGCTTTCATGGAATGGCTTCCCTGGAATGACCTGCGAGATTAAAATAATTGGATTAAATAGTATGACGGCACTGAAGAGCTCTTCTTTTTACAAGCAGCACCTTGCTGCATGTCCCCAGCTCTCCTCTCATTCTTACTTTTGCTCATGTGACTTTTTTTTTTGCTTACAGCTGAACGGAAGCCTCCTTTATTTAACATGAACGCGATGAGTGCCTTATATCACATAGCTCAGAATGAGTCCCCTACACTACAGTCTAATGAATGGTAAGTGCTTTACTCACTATTTTAGATTTACACAAATATTATTAATGTGTTGTTTTATTTTTATACTAGCCATTCCTTCTACATTTGTGTTTTAAATGAGAAAGTGTCAGTAATATTATGGACTGCAAAGGAATTTAGTTTGCCAGTATATGAGACATCTAAATTATATAAGATGGACTTGTAGCATACTGTTTATGCTTGCTATATGGTTTCTGCAGTTTGGAGAATTATGCACTAGGCCTTCCGTGATGTCCTTCGTTAAAGAAGATTTTTGTGACTACTGGAAGTTCTCTTACAGCCATATGATCCTTTGTGTTTTAGAAACTGTCAGTTTTCATTATATTTTGGTTGCACTTCAACACAAACAACACTGATAAGAAAACTGTTAGGTGCCCATACACCTGTCGATTATCGTACGATAATCGCGTGAAATCCCGCAATCGTACGATAATCGGCAGGTGTATGGAAGGCGTGCGACCGTTTCTACTGTACGGTTGCACGTCTTTTGTCTTACGAGCATGTTTGAAAACCCACCGAGAATCATACGATTTTCGGCGGGTTTGTGGTGAGGCACACTGCCAGTTCAGCATTGCAGTCATCGGAAGCCCGCCCCTCTTTGCGATGATCGCAAGTACGATCTTCCTGTCCAAGATGGGCAGATCGTACTTTTTTTTTTTAATTACCTTACAACCATCGCAAGACGAAAGTTTTGCGATGGTTGTAAGGTGTATGGCCAGCTTTAGTCTATCCCAAATATTGTACCACAGTTCTCAGAGTTTGTTGTCTTAATCAATATTCGAAAGTTTTATATAAACTATCGTGTGCTGGTATATACTGCATTTGTTGTTCTTCATTCACAGTGCTTATTAGCTTTTTTATATTTGCATTGGCGAAGATTACTATTGTTTAGGGAAAGTTATAAATATACCTTCTGTTTTACGAAGCTTCTACTGTGCTTCACACAAGTTCACTAGAAGGTTTTTTGGTTTCTTTTAGCCCACCTCACCATAAACACTCTGGTTATACTTTCTAGGAAGTAAGTTAACTAAAGTTAGTTATTCTCCACTCCTGTGTTTTGGGGAATGCATGTATATATTTATGTGCATTCCCTTCACAACAACACATCACTAAAACAAAGACAAAAATGTTTAAAATTTGTCCACCTATCATTTCTGAATTTATAGTTATAGTCAGGAAAAAGGGCCTTTGGACATATGGACTGCATGACTAAAATTGAAGGTGAATTTTTACCTAGCATTGTGAATGAGGGGAAGCTAAAAGAAAATTCACTTTGAAAAGAATAGCCAATTATGTGCAAGGAAAAAAAAAATATTTGTTTGATAGAAGTCAGTACAGCTTCACCTTATTTACTAAGTTGAGTGAATTTTTACTTTGCAGAGTGAATTATTACTTAACTAAGTGAATGAGGTGAGGTTTTTATGTTTGTTTTCTTTCATTTTCCTTTGCAGAGTGTAGTCCACAATGAAGAGGAGTAAGCTGTCAGTCTGTGAGGGGAATTTATAAAAACTGGAGCAGTTGCCCAGGGCAACCAATCCGCTTCTCGCTTCAGTTTATTCAGTTAAGACTTGAAAATAAAAACGGAGAAGCTGATTTTGTTGTAGTGCACAGCTGCTCCAGATTCTGTCTGCTCCAGTTTTGACCAATTCCCCATTAACTTTTTTTTTTAACTACATACAGAAGCATATAATAAAAAGCAACATACACTGTGTAAGTAAAGCAGGGTACACACTGAGAAAGATTCGATCTGTTGGTGACCCTATCCTCTCGACAGAAGTCAAACATTAGATCAACTTTTACCGAAGGAACATGTTGGAAATCCTTAGCTGTATAGCCAGTCAGCTGCCAGCACTGTTCGGGTATTCAGACAGCTGTTGGCACTGCGGCCGTGAATGAAGGAATCTGATATATTTTTTTTCCATTCAGCTCGCATTTTTGAAAGAAAAAAATAACTGTATATACCCAGCTTTAGGCCTCATTCACACACAACGCGAGCAAAATTTTATATTGCATATATACGCGTGTATGTGCGTATATGCGTGCACTATTTGCATTCCCAGAATGCTTAATTCCTAATAGAGATTTTAATGAAATGTACGCACGCATGTGCGTAAAATACGCAGAAATAAGCTGCCGGGCGCATCTTGGTTCCATTCTGTTTTTGCACCTGTTTACGCTACGCAAATATACGGCTCTATGCGCGGCTGTGTGTATGGAGCCATTTATTTGCATATGGTACAATACGCACATACGCGCATATATGCGCGGCAGTGTGAATGAGGCCTTAGGTGACTAAGCTGTGAAAAATAATTCAAGACTCATTTATGTTTGATGTTCTCTATGGTCTTTTAACTTTAGGTCGGACTCATTCCGAGGATTTGTGGACTACTGCTTGCAGAAAATACCTCAGGAACGACCCACGTCGGCTGAGCTGCTGCGGGTAATACATCTGCTCTGCTGTTGTGTGTTTTGTAATGGACCTTTTTTTCTGTTCATATTAATGTAAATTGGATAGCTATCTTAGAATTCGTTCAACTGAAGAAGTGACTACAAAAAGCTTGGAACATTGTATGAATCCTTATCCGACCACCTGTAGTAAATATGTGACCTTATAGATGGGTGTTCATTTGTGCGCCAACATTTGGATATGAGCAAGTGTGTGAGACTACATTTTAAAACTGGTGTGTAGATCCACATTATGCCTTTGATGCAACCAAGCCATTTATAACAGCCATGATCCCCCATAGATAAGAGACCAAGAAAACATCCATAGCTGGTGAATTGTATCTTGTGTCTATGGTAAGCTTTGCAAAACTATACTGAGCACTTTATAGTCTTGGTTATAAAGGGGTTATGTGGATACTTGATGCTTTCTGACTGTGATGCAGTAAGACCTGCTTGCTGCAAGAACTCTCTTCTCCAATATATCATGCAATCAAATCCCAAAGAGCAGTTGCATTTAAAGGTCCGAAGGATTTAAATGTTGATGCTTCTGTAAACTAGTTGATCGAAGTTGATGCATAGAAAGGAGGGTCCCTATTCCATCAACTGGCATCTTGCTAATAACACCTAATTAAAACTTCTGCTTGCATGTATGCTTACTAGAGAGCAAAAGGATTGCCAGATGCATTAATCAACTTCCAGAAAGAAACATCATCATAAACCTATCCTTCTGCCCATCATGCACCCACATGGAACACAGTACCTGTTAGATATACAGTCTAATATACCTATATATCTAACAGGTACTGTGTTCCACGTGGGTGCATGATGGGCACAAGGAGGGGATTTCTCACATGCTCATTAAACGTCATACAAAAATTCCCCTTTTTAGATTGGAGTTGCTTGTAAGGCATTGTACATAATGTGGATTTCATTGTAGGATTGTGTATGTTATAGTACTAAATGGCTCCATTCAGGCTTGTGCTGTCTTCCCTTGTTGCACACACTGCTGCCACAGATAATCTCTTAACAGGCTCATAGGTTTATGATGATGTTTCTTTCTGGAAGTTGATTCATGCATCTGGCAATCCTTTTGCTCTCTAGTAAGCATACATGCAAGTTCACTGGCACGTCGTCTCCATGCACTTCTCAATCTACACAGTATACTTTGTATACATACATCTGAACTATAAATTGCTTACATAAGATTAAGCAATTTAGAATTAAGGCTTGTCTGTTTGGTTTTGCCCCCCACTTCATTCTTTAAAAACAGTTTTATAAGGAACCGATAGATAGATAGATAGATAGATAGATAGATAGATAGATAGATAGATAGATAGATAGGTATTTCGAAGGTGCATTTGCTGTTCTATTTTTTAAGCTGTTCCAGGACCTGCATTCTGGTCTTTCTTCATTATGTAAACATTTAATGAAGCAAGATTAAGGATTGGCAATACAGTACTTGGAGTTCACACTGTAGGAAAAATACCAGTGGAAGCCCCCAAATTTCTATCATAGCAGATCTCCAGATGTTATCTTTAATTAGGGATGCACCGATACCACTTTTTTGGGTCTGAGTACGAGTACCGATACTTTTTTTAAAGTACTCATGGACGTTCGCCCGTGGAGAAGGAGATCGCGGCCATCTTGAATGAATGCAGACGCGGTCCTGTGTGCTGTGTGCGGCGGTGGAAGATGGCGGACACAGGTACTCGTTTTAGACATCCGAGCATTTGCACGAGTACGAGTACTCATGCAAATACTCGGTATCGCGGCCGATACCGATGCTTGTATCGGTATCGGTGCATCCCTATCTTTAATTATTGACTATACCTGGGCTTTGCTTCAGAAATGACATTTCAGAATTGCAAGGCTACAGTTAAACACTGGCCTACTTTAAAAAAAAATATCTTGTCAAGTCTCATCTTTTGGTTAAGGAACCCATTAGACGTATGGAAAGACAAGTATGTGAAGTGTCAGTAAAGCTCTGCGGAAGTTTATAGCAATAGAGCAAGAGGGGTGGCAATACGTTGGAGACTTATAAGGGGGAGGCTTATTAGGGTGCAACAATAGCAAGAGGACCAGGTTTTGTAACCTCTCTGAACCCTTGTGCCCCATTCACCAGTCAGGGCACATGTGGACTTCCATAGTCATCACCTAACTGATGCTAAAAGTGACTGAATGGTTTCTGTCTTCTTTTATATACTGTATAAGTATCTATTGAAGGTTGCCTTGTTTGTCTCAGTACTGCCCTTCTCTTTGCTAGTTCCCTCCATTTCTCTTTACTTACTTTATACCCATTTTAGATACCCATTTAAGATGTGAACTAACAGCTCACATTCTAGATTAATGCCAATTTCTTCAACATAACAACGCAAGGCTACAAAGACTGCAGCTGACTTACAGAATGTTTACATCATTTGGTTTGGTATTGCACTTCATCAAAATATTTTGTATTTTCTGCATGCATATAATTGAACTTTAGTGCTGTTCTGAGAAATACACAATGTATTCACTTTGTGTTATTTTGCAGAAGTCTTTTTATGTAAGTAAAATAAATACAATATTTTCCTTTCCAAAACAAATTTTGAAAACAGAAAATAGTGCAATATCTTAGGATGGTATTGCAGTTTTGAATTAAAGACCGAGATCAGCCATACACAGTAGTAAGAATAGTGACACTTACACTTTCTCCACCCCAGAGTAATTATCTGTCCCAATTGAGTGATTCAGAAATGTATTGAAACCAGAGATAGGCAGGCAGCTAGCATCTTTGGAAGAAGGTCAGTGAAGCCAGATGCATATTTCTGTCAGTATTGGTTACCTTAAACTAGATACCAGTTTAGCAGCTGGTCTTTTGCATTGCTTTTTTCCTACACAAACCTAATGATGCTCCCTCTACTGGTGTCTAATGTTCAGGAACAGTTAGTACTAAGATCTTGAAATGGGAAAGAAATGGCATTTCATTGCAGGAAATGCGTGGTAAAATGCAAGTTTTATTGTAACACGTTGCACTCTTTGGTGCGCTGCAGTGCCTTTTCATTTACAGTTCATTTAGAATATCATTCCAACCCACAGTATAGAAAGGGCCATTGAACTAGCACTGGAGCATACCTCTATGCACATATCTTGCTTTGTGTTGTGCTGTGTTTTGTTCTATTCAGAAAATGAATGACAGTTGACTTAACACAACATATATCAAGCAGTAGAATTGTCAGAAGTGAATGGGTTCCTTAGCCTTTTATCTCTTAGGTCAGATTTTGATCTCTGTATATATCACAAAACGTGATGGGGTCTAATATTTCTCACCAGAACCAGAATAGAGTGGAAATCTGTAACCGAGGATACCTGTTCCAATGACGGTGGTCTCTAAGAGGGGATGTCTCCTCACGAACTATCTGCTTCCTGTCTCCGATACAGGATCTGAATGGAGCTCTCCCCAAAGTGGCAAAGACCCAAAATAAAATATGACAGGATTTTAACCATTCTCTACTGTGTACAAAGTAAAACAACGGTTAAAACTATGTAACATACAAAAAGGAAATGTATATACATAATTTTGGATTTAGATCCAATTATTTGATGCGTTTAAGGCCAGTACTGGCAGTATACCAAAGCAGAGGTTGCAGAAGGAGTGATTTTTTTCTGCCTGATTTTGTACCATTTAGTGTAAACTATTATTCTCTCATCCATTGAGAGACACAGGAAGTCATTTACATTTGGGATATACTTCTGCCTACGGGAGGGTTGGACACTTGCAAACAACAAATCTGTCAATTAAGACCCTTCTCTACATTTCTGCTAGAGCTGTTCCCTTAATTGCAGCTACCAGGCACAGCTGCCCTGACTTTGTAGTTCTATGACCTCTGGGCATTAGGTTCCACTTTCCCAACCCATTTTGGTAAGAAGTTAGCTGCAGAGGGCTTTTCAGGTTCAGAGCCATTTGCCTCAATGCTGTCTCTGGAGACTCACTCAGTAAGTAGGCCACTCAGGCTGAGCACCAGCAGCTTTGGTCCCTGGGCACCTTTGGAAATTCCCACTTTCTGACAGTTTTCAGCATGGAAGGGGTTAGCATTGAAGGACTAAGTGCCGTTGTCATCCGATGGGTATAGCGTGCACACGCTCTTTGCTCTTTCCCGCCATTCAGCAATGTGAGTAAGTATCTCCTTGCAAAGAGCAATGTGGAACTCCATTCTTTGGTCTTTTTCTGCTGCCTGTCTACAGTCACCATGGTCACCTATGGCCATTTAATCCACTGAAGCAGCCTGGAATCATGCTGAACTCTGTTCCTTGAGTCTAACCTATCTTCCCAGTCTTCCCTAGCAGTGTCATGTATGGCTGGCTCATCTGCCCTTTTGACTGAGGTTTTTTACTGCAGTCACGCAAGACTAGTCAAAATCAGCTGGTTATTTGCTGACTTAGGCCGCAGAGGCCACAGGTACACTCCTCCGCCTTCCCGTGCAGATTCTGTACATATCTGCTTGCAGCCTCTGAGCCATCAATCACTCAGACTCTGTCTGATTCTAGTCACTCCATTCCCTGCTGGACGAGCAGTAAGACTTCTGTAAATACTCCCAAATTATATGTGGTGCACACCACCCTGAAACTAGGGGATTAGCTTGTTGCTTTTATCAGTGCTATCCTTAGACTTGGGTCCTTCTAAACCCCTAAGACTGCAAAGACTTTCCCGGTGCATACGCTTCTAGTGAGATTGGAAACAACCTGACCAGATGTTTGTTCCCTCTGAGTGCCTGTTAGCCCTGAATCCATTTGTAGACAACTTTGTAAAAAAGAGGTCTATCCCAGCTATGAATCGCATACCTTTTTTAAGACTGGTATTAAACCCAGTGATTTTTGTTAGATGAACATTGATCCACTGCGGACCCAGCAGTGTCGCGTCTTAAGGCGACCACTATTCTGGTTGAGGATACACCTGTCTTTAAGGACCCAACCAATAAGCAGATGGAAGCCCACTTTAGAACTCAGTTCCCACTGACATGCGTCTTAGCAGTAACCTTGCCTTAGCTGCATGCACTTTGAGGGACAATGCCTTTTCTGATGTGCTCTGGATGCCATTATCAGCATCAAATATTATTTGCTGGCTACCGGTGGCAAGAGCACTTGCATTTCTTAAGTCTTAAGTCACAAACAGGGAAGGCTATTACCTTGCTGTCAGTCCTTTTAGTCTTACTACACCTGCAACATGTCCAAAACCCCCCAAACTTGGCTCCCAGTTGACCCTCAAGGACTGGGGCAAACTAGGACTTCTTTCCATCTATTCACCTACAAGGTGGTATTCCTTGTAACCATCACCTCTGTGATGTGAGTGCCTGAACTGGCAGCCCTATCTTGCAAGCAACCCTTTCGGACCTTGCATAGGAACATGGTGATGTTGAGGCCCAATAATTCCTTGTTTCCAAAAGGTAGTTTCTTCCTTTCCCCAGAACATCAGTCTTCCGTCCCTGTATCAGGCTGTAGTTTACCAAGAAGAAATTTCCCTCCGTTGTGTGGATTTGGTTCAGGTAGTACAAGTCTATCTCTTAGCCACTGCTTTTTTTTAAGAAAGACTGATTCCCTTTTTGTCTTCTTGGATGGTCCCTATAAGGGTGCATCGGCTTCCTGTTCTACCATCTCTAGGTGTCTCAGACAGACCATCATCTAAGCTTATAGTCTCAAGGATCAGGTTCCACCCTTTCCTGTCAAGGCACACTCCTACTGATCTGTGAGTGCTGCCCTAGCTTTTTGGAAACTGTTTCCCAAATTTGGCTGCCACCTGGTCCTCTGGTTACACTTTAGTTCGACCAGGTGGATTTTCCAGCCTCATCTGATGCCATTTTCAGGAGTAAGGTCCTTCATGCGGCCCTTTGAGCTTTAGGCAGTCCCCAGTTCTGCTGGTTTTTTGGGGGGTCTGTTAGTGTTTGTATGCTGTGTGGCCTACACCTCTGACTGCTTTAGGACATCCTGAAATTCTTGCAGTCCCCTCTGTGTTTATAATCATGCTCTCCGTACTGATTTGCTACAAAACTGAGGCATGTTGATAGTAGGAATGGTTATCCTGGGCTTCCCTACAATTTTTTTGTTTGACAGTGTCCATTCCTCCTGTATAACCTAAATGTGAATTATTTCCTGTCTCTCTTAAAATCCTTACTAAATATCCCTTGATGAAAAGAGATTTATGTTGTCCTTCTCTTATCACCAATAACACAAAGGCATAATATTTAACTACTAAGGCATAACATAATAAACTACTTTTTCTTCTTTTTTTTTTTAAATATGCCAGCTTGACTTTGTGCGCAGAGAGAGGCCAGCGCGGGTCCTCCTAGATCTGATACAGAGGACTAAGGATGCTGTCAGGGAGTTAGACAATCTGCAATACAGGAAAATGAAAAAAATCCTCTTCCAAGAATCCCGCAACGGTCCACTTAATGAGTCTCAGGAAGATGATGAGGTAAGACAAAATATTGAGGCTGTGTAAAAAAATAAATGACTGGTAATACTTAAAATGTCACCAGAGCGGTGTTTGTAAAATCACTATACAGGAACTGTTAGAAAAAAACATTTATTTAATATCACTACATGCAATCCCTTTATACACTTACTATTTTTCATTACAGTTTAGGAATATCTTATGGGCAGTACAGCATCTAATACCTGCATATATTGTGGATGTACCCATTCCTCCACTAGATCTTACTAATTATTCTGTACAAGTTATTATATATTAGTTATTATTAGGGATGTCCCGATGCCACTTTTTCAGGCCCAAGTACATCCCCTCATGTACTTGCCGATACCAATTACCGATACTTTTTCTTGAAGGGACAGGTGACTTTAAATGATCCATAGTACAACTACATGTTATATACTATGGATCATGGTTTAACATATTCATGTTAGCAGGGGAGAATTATAACTCTATTGCTGGAGTTTAGTGGAGGTGTGTGCTGTATATATGTACTACATATACATTACACACGCCCAGTACACTATAGCAATAGATTTACAGCCAGCCCCGTCCCAGCTTCCCTTACTCACAGTTTCACTCCGATCCCCGTAGCCTCATGCGGTGCCTCTTGTAGTCGGCGCTGGGCAGGATCGAAGGACCCGGAGACTGCCAGATGACCCCGCTCTGAGCGACCGCCCACCGGAGCAGCAGTGACGCGACGCTCGGCGAGGTAAGTAATAAGAAAAGAAAAAAACATGGCGCTAGGCATCGGGGCATTTTGACAAGTACTTGTCAAAATGCCCTGTATCGGGCCCGATTCCGATGCTAGCATCGGTATCGGGACATCCCTAGTTATTATAAACTATGAGTAAAAAGGTTGCATTGGAAAAATGTACTTGCTGAAATTTTACTGTATTTTCCTTTTTAAATACCCATGTGGTATATGTATAGGGTAACGGTCAATATTATACCCTTGTTAATACTTAGTAATGAACCACACGTGATACCCTCAAACAATTGGCATTGGCTTGCACTGGATTTAGAATAGGACAAAAATAAAATATGTATTTTGAAAAAACCCTTGCAGATATGACTACATAGATGTAATAAAGCTGCATAGTTATAGATGTAAATGCAGCCTATTTCATTGTTTAGCCACCATGTTCAAGGCACTTGCAAACACATCTCATGACGAATCAATAAAAACTATGTGAGAGATTACTTATGGGTCTGGCTCTCTGCCCAGATGTAGTATAGACTGTTGACCATTTAATTAGAGAGTTTAGCACAGACTGTACAATAAGTGGGCTTTCAGAGCAAGAGATAGCCTTCTTTCACTTAAAGGACCACTATCATGAAAAATGTTGTATTCCCTTAACTGTATGTGACAGGGGTGGGTACAAACTATAACACTGCCAAACTTTATAACTTTATACTCACGTTTGCTGTACTGCTTGGTCTGTGTGTAAATCTGGAGGAAAATCTATTATTAAAGCTGTCTGATCTAAAGAAATCCATAGCCTTAATGTTTAATCAGTGCTATAACCACATGGTTATCAGGATGCATTATTTTGTATGATTGTGTTACTTTAAGGTAAGATACTGCAACTCTTACCATACTGTAAACTAATATTGATAAACAAAAATACATTTAGAAGATACTGTGCATTCCTATTTAACACAGCAACCCGGATTTAATGATATTTTAATTCCATCTTAAAAACGAATACAAGTTTTTTACAGTTTTTATTATTTTAGAGATGTATCAATATTTTGGTGAATTTTAGATTTGTTGATTGTGATTACTTTTGCTGTGTTGTGTCTAGCTAGAGCAGAATTTGTGTTCCTATTTTTATACCTTAAAGTTAAACTTCTTTAAAGTCATCTAATGTACATTATATGATTATGCAACAGCATAATAATGCTTTTAGATATTTATATTCTTTAACAGATTTACTATTTATTCATAGCCTATCCATGCATGTTTGGATCTTTCACAGATGTTTCATTTTGATTTAATAATTGTACCATTAAGTTGCCCTTGCTTTCTGCACTATTTGATGCCGTGATGAGTTTGTTGCACAATTGGCACAGTGCTTGAGCGTTATCTGTCAATCTATATATGTTACCTGATTTGGCTACTCACAGGTATAAAGGATGCTCTGTCATTTTACACAGTTGTAAAATTGTATTAGGGCCATGATCATACCTGTCTGCTGTCCTAAATTGAAGAGCGTATAGATTAGTGCACTTTAAAATATAGCACATGCTGCATTGATGTGCATTAAACAGTCCCTTTTAAAATAAATGGTAAACATGATTCATGCATTCCTGTGTGTTTTACACACTACACAATGAAAAATCCCTTTTTTAAAGAGTCCACCCTCATTCTGCACAGTGAATGAACAGGAAACGTATAAAATATACATACATATGAAACGCATATAAGTACTGTAAGTATGTAGTACTAAAAAGCACATTACGGTGTGTATGTGTGTGTGTGTGTGTATATATTATATATATATATGTGTGCGTGTGTGTGTATATATATATAAATATAAATAAAATGTGTGTGTGTGTGAAACTGTGCAATGAAAAAGTTACATAGGTAATACATCACGGCCTCTGATGGTACACCGGCATGACGCGGGATATAATGTGAAGCTGTTAGAGTTTTGTTATTAGAAATACATATTGCGTAACTTCCTTATATATCAAATGCATGGGATAATGTTTGCAAACTACTCTGCATCATATGTAGGACAGTGAACATGGGACCAACCTGACTGCAAAGATGGACAGCCTTGGCAGCAATCATTCTATACCAAGCATGTCGGTCAGTACGGGTAGCCAGAGCAGCAGTGTGAACAGCATGCAAGAAGTAATGGATGACATGAGTCCGGAGCTGATTTTGGTTCCCAGCTACAGCTGCAGCTATGATTCCACCTCTTCTTTGGTTCCGAAAAAGGTAAGAGAGTCAATTCAGTGGGGAAAATAGCAGTCAGATTTTTTTTTTTTTCCCCCATCCTATCCTTTGCAGGCGAATATGTTGCAAAATCGCATTTTGTGGCTAATTCACTATATTTAATTTACTCACAGTTGTGGAGGGTTTTCGGGTTAGCTTTTTGTAGCTCAGTGTAGCATATCTGTCTTGTCCTTAAGCAAGCTGTTCAGCTAAAATTTGTGTGGCCCCGTTGGCAACCCTCCTTTCAACAAAAGTAGATTTTTTTTTTTCTTATTTATTTTTGTTGAAGGAGCCAGTCTGAAAAATCTCAGCCAAAAACTGCAGCCAATGGTAATGGTAAGCTTGATGGCCAATTGCAGTAGCATTTGGGTAATATCTAAATCTCCAAAAAGAGGAGGAGGCATATTTCTTAAAATGGAATGAGTGGAGTTTATCAAAACTGGAGCAGACAAAATCTGGAGCAGCAGTGCCTGGCAACCAATCGGCTTCTCTCTCATTTTCAAATCTTAACAGAACACACTGAAGAGAGATCCTGATTGGTTGCCATGGGCAACTGCTTCAGATTTTGTCTGCTCCAGTTTTGACAAATTCCCCCGTGTGTGTGTGTGTGTCTACATGAAAGGTTTTGTTTTTTTTGGTTCTTTTTTCCCCCCCATTTATAAATGCCTCAATCCCAGGTTTATCCCAGCTACTTTAGTACAGTAAAACAGTCAAGAATATGACCACAAGTATGTATATAATAAACTCTGCATTAAACTAATAAATAGCAACAGTATACGAGGAGTGATTTCTACCATGACGTGTCTCATGCAATCTTTTCATCAGCTGTGAATGTTTGGCTCTAAATAGATATGATTGTAAGCTCTCACAAGCAGGGCCCTCCTAACCCTCCTATATATTAAATTTGTATTGTAAACGGTACTGTGTCCTTTCATTTTGTAAAGCACTGTGCAAACTGTTGGCGCTATATAAACCCTGTATTATAATATTAATTGGGGTAGTAAAAAAAAACAAAAAAAAAACAAGGCATGCATTTTTTTAAACTAGCACCTATCAAAATTATAGCAAATTATTTATTTTTAACAAAGGCTCATTTTAAAATGACAAAGTGTAGTTTGGGGGGGCAAAATTAAATTCTGTAGGTTTCCAGTTAATGTAGAACATTTTTTTTTGTAGTAATTACAATTTTCAATTGCCAATCTCAAAGTATTAACACTCTAAAAATTAAAATGTAAAATATCTAAAAAGAAAATTCCAAATACCTTTTTTTAATCTGTTGTCATTTTCTTATCTGCAGTCATTTGTATTGTTTAAATAATAAACTGTTAAAACAGTCTGTCATTTTAGAAAGAATCTATAGTTAACATGACAGAGAGAAAAAAAAACTTTTTTTTTTTTCTTTTTTACTGCAATGTTCCATGACAAATCAAGGTTAATTGCCTTTATGTGAAATCATGTTGATGACAATTGCATGGACTGGGTTTTTTGGGGGGGGGTGGGGGGGGTTGTAACAATTCATTGTTGTCAAGAGAGAAGTACATAACAATTGTTTGAATTGTAGCCTGCTGTATGCTCAGTAGCACAATAGAATTGCATTCATCACTTGCACTGACCCTCCATTTGTTTTAAAACGAGCTCTTTGGCATTAATTAAAGTGCTTGTTCACAGATATTTTCATAAATACAATTTTTAATAAACATTCCCCAATCCACTGATTGCTCCTTCATGTTCTATACTTTAAAAGTTAAATACATTTTGAAAACTGACAATTATAAAAATAATTACATTACTGTCTGTAATAAATGCCAATGTAAAATAATAACTCCTCTTTTCTTAGCATCTATGAAATAATGACTTTACATGCCCTTTATTTATATAAAAATGTTAATCTCTAAATTACCCAAGTCTTGGAAACCTGTGATTAATAAAAAATCGGAGCGAAGCGGGTCACACATTTTAGAATAGGACAGCTGCTCTAAGACCCAGCCCTGATTAAAAAACAGTAAGATGAAATAACCACTAACACACAGAAGTATTTCTGTTCAGGGGAAAATTAAATAATGTCTGTTTTTCAACATAAAAGATAGTGAAAGGAATATTGGAGGAGTTGCTTATAGTAACTAGCAGGATTCCTGTAGTACATAAAAGCTGTTTTATTTTGCATAATGTTTTATTTTAGATGTGTGTGAAAAAAAACAAAAAACGTTTTAGACCCATTTGAACTTTAAATTTTAGTGGATTTCTGTGTGGCAGTATTTGCATCCAAATTAAATACATCATGGCAGTATACCTGCTGGAGCAGATACCTCTAACTTGAACTGCACTTGACATGAAATGTAATGGTAAAAAACAAATAGAGATTAAAACAGTATTGAGTTTTTTTTTTTTTAATACTTTCGCCTATAGATATTTTAGCTTTCTGTCAGCAAATCTATAATACTAAAATTAATTTCAGGGCTTAAGAAGTAATCGTGCCCTACATTTAAAATAGAATAGTGGACATAAGAGGCCATTCCATATTTAGTAGAATAAACTGACACACATGCCAAGATCTCCATTAATGTTATATAGAAATATAAAACATAGAAGATATACAATATGGGTCTTCTTTCATGAGGCCCAAGTTGCATAGGGAACAAATACACCTGTTAGTGGGGAAAAAAGAGTGGCTTTTGGTAGAATTTTACAGTAAGGCAGTTTTTATGCTCTGCTAATAGTATTCTTCATTGATTTGCATTCACGTGTGTGCAAGTCTATATAGTCTGTATATGGTATAGTCTTGAGTGTTACCTCACCTGTAACAAATAATTAGTAAGCAAAGGGAAAAGAAAAGATGCAGACTTCTTAAGGTGCCCATACACCTTACGATTATCGGACGAAACTTTTCGTCCGATGATCGAATAGTCGTACGATTTTCGTACGGCAGCCCCATCCTGCCCCGATGATCGCAAGATTAATTTAGCCGTAATTAACGAAAAGCACCTGGACGAAATACGCTAATTTATTTGACGTATTTTCGTTAGCGCAAGCGCAGTGTAGATCGTACGACTTTTGATGGACGGAAACGCCAGCAACCTTACGACAATCGTACGTTCTAGCAAAGTTTTCAAACATGCTTGACCGTCAAAAGTCGTACGATTGTACAGTACTGTCGGTCGGACACTGCAAGGCACACATCCGATTATCGGCCGAAAAGTCGATCGCATACGAAAATCGAACGATAATCGTAAGGTGTATGGGCACCATTAGCTGGACAGTTTTCTGGGCACTTTTGGTGTTCAGAAAATACAAGGCATTACACGCTATGACACTAGAACACAAGAGCAGTCTTAAGACATGGGAAGGAAAGTTCTATAACTACATTTTTCTGGACATATCATATCTGGAAACTGCAATAAAATGTAGGTTCAGGTAAATAAAAAGAATTAGACTAGAAGCATGTTAATACTTATCCCTTCACTGTGTTGATACTTTTGGCAGGACATAAAGAGCTCCATT